AACTTGTGAATCACTTTTAGATTCACTGAAAAGTAACGGAATTAATGACGAATACTTGGCAAAGAATTTTATTGCATTTACCAGTGATGGCGCATTAGTGATGATGGGGGCAACCAAAGGATTCGCAACATTACTTAAATGAAGGTACCCACACCAGTTGATGGTACCCAACGTATTGAAGATTTCTTTGGTAAGATTTATGCAATTTATTCTCAGTCTGCTAAATTGCAGAGAGAACTGAAAATTATTACTGCAGACCTGGATATCCAACTGCGTAATGTCGAGAAAATTTTGACAACTAGATGGGTTGCATCCTCTTGTCGTGCAGTGGAATCTTTTTGGAGAAATTATCCAGCTGTGTACAAGCATTTCTCCCCTCTTTCACAGTTTCAAGATAAGCATAAAGCAACCTATGAAGGATTAGCAAAACGAATGGAGACGATAGAGCTTGTTGAAGACCTAGCCATTATGAAAGACTGCCTTGGGCAGTTTCAATTTTGTCTGAATCAATGCAGAAGGACTGCATCATTCTTCTTAAAGCAACTGACTATTTGCTATGGACGATAAACGCGCTGGAAAAGATAAAAGATCTGAGAAGATATTATTAAACCAAATTAATCTCTCTATCCGGAAAAATGGCCAAGGGGTGAGAAGGTTCCATGGCTAAATGGAGAGCAACATATCATGTCACTTTGTGAAAGATTTAAAATCAATACGACAGGCATGATTGCATCATATCGAGAAATTTTCAGTAATCCTCGATACACCCCCTCGCTTATTGAGGAATGGCTACTAAAAGGATTGCTTCAAATTGTACCATTAAGCAGTGCCGAGGCAGAGAGGGGATCTTCAAAAATGAACATAATATGTTTGAAGTCACGCTCTAGCATGTCTGTTTCTCATTTATCCTCCTTGATGTTCATAAGCATCAATGGTCGGCTAGCACAATTCTGAGAGGCAAGTTCAGCTGTGCAGCAATGGCTGGAAAACCACAAGTCTGCTATAAATAATCAAACTAGAAAAAAGATGCTGATAAAAGAAGCAGAGCTCACACCTTTACAACAATTTTTTGTCAAATAAAATTGGCTGATGTTACTCAAGCCTAACATAAAAGTCGAGGAGTCATATCATAGACTGGCATTGTAATTTATTCATGAACAATAATTAATGTATATTGATATAGACTATGACTTGAGTTGAGACAAACATTTTCCTTTTTTTACAAATATTTCAAGTTTTTTAAAGAAATTTCTTTTTTGTATTAGTGTTGTGCAGCATGTGCGTTTTCTGAATCTGTATTCTATTTTACCTTTTTGAGTTTAAGACAAATTTTGGACATAACTCTACTCAACTCAGGGAAGATAAGAGATGATTAAATTGGTTCAGATTATAAGCCGACATTTTATCTGTTGATAATGAAAAAATAAGCTGTTGTAGAATGCAAATGGTATAGTAGTAGTAGAGTACTAGTATTTACTATGCAACTATACATAATGTTTTATTGTTATCGTTACTGTTTGGCAAATGATCATCTTTTATAAATCAAAACTTATGTAGCAGACTCATTTTCTCGCAGTTTTAACTTTTTATCTAACGAGCTCTGTCAAGAATAGTGTAGTATGACTGAGTGTAAGTCTATTTCAAACATTTATCAAAGTAGTGGTCGTTACTTGTGAGACTTATGGGTTATAATCTGTCATGTATGAGTCATTTCAGTTAAACGTTGTGAACATCCATGATAATGTCATACGACGACGTCACGCATTTTTCATAATTTCATGGCTTCAGCTTGGTCAAGAGAGCCCCCCACCCTCTGATAAATTTAGTTCTACAGCACTGCTTATACCATTCACCATGGTATTTGCAGATTTGTCACCACGACAAAGTCACCATTTTATTATTTAAGATACCTATATTTATACTCATATTTATACTCATAACTATTTACATAGGGAAGAGGTGCACACGGTGTCTCGACAACACTTATGAGGTGCCTAAATACGCATTGGCGTCAATTCTGTGTTAATTTTGGGACTATATTCATATATTCTGCTATTCCTGGCTAATTTCTTTTCAAAACAATTTCACTTTCAAAAGAAATCAGCCTGGCATAACAGAAAATATGAATATGGTCCCCAATTATCGCAGGATTGACGCCAATGCAAATGCGTCATAATATGAAATCACACGAAATTTCATCAAGCATCTCAAAACTTTGTCATATGAATAAAATCACCAATATTAAGGAGATTATTAAAAACTTGATGAATTTTTCACTAAAAAACTTCATGAAATTTTTAACAGCAAACGTTTAACAAACTTGATGAAATTTTTGCATGAGCTTCATGTAAGCAAAGCGTTGTGGTTGTATTTCGATTCGCGTGCCACAAACAATATAGCTGCCGTTAAGGTGCCACATGGCTTGTGGTTAGAGTTACAAAATATATGTAATGCAGTAAAACGTTCACTGGTATCAATTTTTTTTATCGAACAAGCTTTCGACTGTCTGTCTACAGCCTTCGACGGGTTATAAAAGAAATGAATGGGATGTAACACGATATAAATACATGAAAAAACTTCTTTTACGAAAACAGAAACTGTACCTATCACATAGAACATTATATCATATTACTTTGTTTCCGCTTTTTTATTTATGTATTTATATTGTGTTACACCCCATTCATTTCTTTTATTATCCATCGAAGGCTGTAGACAGACAGTCGAAAGCTTTGTTCAATAAAAAATTTTTATATCTGTGAACGTTTTATTGCATTATGTATATTCTTGATATCGGATCACGCATTTTTTCTAAAATGTATCTAATTGTTGAATTATAGTCGAAGGGGAGGATAAGAGAAAATGACCACGATAAAACTTTTTTAAAAAGCAAAAAACACATTACTATTACTATATAAATAATTTCTGCATGCTCTCCTATTGATAAACCGTCTAGCGTCTGCATGGTCGAATCAGACAACTTAAACGATCCACTAATGCGTTAAGAGTTACGTAGTTGCTGAAGTTTAATTTTTGACATGTGCGTTCTAAGGGATTCTATAACCATTCTCTATCACGGTTGGTAGCACCAACAAAACTGATTCGATCCATTGGTTCAAGTATGTGGCCCATTGTATTGGTCAGAAAAGAGCATTTAGCCCTCAATGGACAAGAGAACTGCGAGAAATTCTTAAATATGAGAAATATGAGGTTTTTGTAACAAATACTAAATCTTGATCCTCAATTTATTCCTTTTTCACTATCAACCTTGGTCTTCTCACCACTATACCCTCCTGACAACCATCGGAGTAAGATTTAATTGTTTTTGTCATGTTTTTTTTTGTATTCTTGGGGTTTTCATATAATTTTGTAAATAAGTCGTACCTCGTTCTCGGTGAAACTAATGTGATCTGGTCATTGAATATGTAAAATCGTCTGATGTGTAACAAAAGCGATTGAAATCTTCAAAGAAATTTGTGAGCCTTGCCGAAAAAGTTATATAATTTTGGCAGCCATATTGTTTGTGGGCACGCAAATCAAAAACACAACTACAACTTTTTCCGTACATGAAGAAGTTCAATCAAAAATTTCATCAAGTTTGCTGTTAAAAATTGCATCAAGTTTGATAATTTCCTCAATTATGGTGATTTTTGTTCTTATGACAAAGTTTTTAGTTGCTTGGTTGCTTGATGATATTTCGACGCATTTAGCACCTCATACACACTGCTCATCTTTGAAATCAGCCGACATTAAGAATTTGCAAGATATATATGCTAATTCCATTTGCTAGCGACCGTTGCACAAAAGTATTTTGTGCGTTGTTTTCCGTCTTAAACATCAATTATTGCTCGTCAACATACACGATTAATCGCGAAAAGTAAATAACTTGGACTGTGAGAGGAAAACGTTTGACAGTTATCGTCTGCATGTTTCACAAACTTAAAGTGCATATGCAATGAATTTTTACCCTCCATTTTTATTTGACATATTTAAAGAGCTTGCCTCGTAGAGTTCATTTTTGCAATCAGAATTTTAATTAGACAAAAAAAAATTTTTCGTGACTCTTTAAAGTTTCGATTTTCAGTAATTTTAGTGCGAACTTTTTGATCGGTATGTTACTTCGATAAAAACGTTAATTGTATTATTATTTTAATATTGCGACAAACAGACGTGTTCAACTATCTACGTCACAAGTTCAAGATGGCGTCGGAAAAAGTTCGCAAATGGAACCAACTTTGGCAGCAAAATTGACTTACTTATACATGGCTCCTAGAGCTTATTTATGTGTCAAAGTTCTTCTAGTGCTTTAAACTTTAATAATATGAAATAAAAAAGAGGGGGTGAAAATTCATTGCATATGCACTTCAAGCGTTTGTTTTTGATATAAAAATGTCATGTTTCATCGACTGCAAATCCATCGACAAAGTTTTGTTACGGAAGGCTTTATGATGGTGATTAATACAAAATATTTTGTTTTCCTCAATATTGTAACTTTAAGATTATTGTTGATTTGCAAAGTACGAGCAGGTTTCAACTGACCTGCAATTGCCATGTCATCATGCCTCTGAACAAAATATGGTTAATTTAACTATCGTTATTTTCTTCAAAGAACATAATTATTTTAAGAAGGGAGAAGTTCCAGTGGGAATAGTTATAAAATGCGATGATTAAAGAATCGTTTTATGTTGCTGACTCAACCAATTTATTTTTGGCATGACTCATAAAAAATATGTGTAACGTTTCAGGTGAGGATCTAGCGAAAAAACTGACCGTATTGAGAGCCGAAGGCTCGAAGGAGCTCAGCGGTCCGGAAGAAAAATTGTCGTTTTCTCCCGCCGGGAAAAATTTTCAAATTCAACCCGAAGAACGCCATTTTCCGCAGTCTGAGCATTAAGTTACAATAAAATGAATATTAGCGTCAACCCTCCATATAGTGTTCACTAGCCCCTTCTCTTTACTAGTTAATTATCTAAAGTTGCATAATTTGTGAAATCACAAAGTAGTTTATTTTTAGACGTTTAATCTTTTACATCACCCATCAACCCATAAATATGAGTTGTTTTTGCAGTCGTTTTCCACCAAAAAATTGACGAATTGTTCAATTATTGCTCTTAAGCAATTATATGCACAACTGCCGTATAGTAAGTACGATATGCTGACTGCTGAGAGAGTATTATCCAAGCCTATAGGAAAAAAACATATAACCAAAACAGAAGAAAACGATGTCAATTGGCAACGAGAGTGAATATCAAAGATGATTACATATCTTAAATAAATATCTATACATATCATTTAAAACAAACATATGACGATTATATCCCCGTGGTATATTGTAAATTCTATCTTGGTGTAATTGAATCTCAACTCTTTAGCCACACTCTAATTACATCGAATACGTCAGGACGTGTTATTCAACAAGTATGCGAATCACAATTTACATTCAAGGTAAAACTTTAAGACAAAGTTACAACAAAAATTGCTATTCATACCGTACAGGAACATGATGCACACATCTTCTAAGCTGGCTCTTCCGAAATTTTAGCTTGGAAAAAGCACAAACAACGACGAGCTGGCGTTTTGACTTCAACTGCTGCCTACTCTTAAAGAGTAACTTCTCACACGAAAGTTTCAAAGCAGAAAGCTCTCTCAAATCGCTTTGTTTAGAGCCTAACTGGTCAAAAAAACGACCTAAACATCTAAGAACGTCATTTGAATGCATAGAGATTGCTTAATCAAACCGGTTACTAATGAAAGATCGCGGTTGTTTCCAATATGAACAATATTACATGAATTCCGAGGTGTTTACGATTATTTTATTTCTTGCGCAATCAAAACGCAGCTAGGGTATCAAAGGTATCGAACGTCACGGATACATGTCCTATGATTGGCTAGATACCCTGCAAAGTATCCAAATGCTTCATTTAAATGCTATTTTTAGTAAAATTTGAACCGCGGACCGTATTAGTAGATCGTGGTCGCATTTGAAAATATTTTACCGATCAATTGACGATTGCATTTACGCTGTCGGAAAATATACTCGGCCCATCTTCGTTAAAACTAATTTAACGCTTGAATAAGGAGGATCAATTTACATTAAGAGTAGTAAATACTACATACTCAAATTTCATAGGTATATGTCAAAGGAGTGAGATTTGTAAAATTCAAAGAAATCAGTAGGACACAACTGAATATATGAATATACACCCCCCAAAAAAGTTCTAGTTACGCCTCTATGTTCTGATAATATTTACAAATTTCTACAGGGGAGCTCAAGCCCCTCAGCCCCCATATACTCTAAGCCTATGCGTGAGAATAATAGATTTGTAAACAAAACACACGATGGTCATGTAATTTTAAGTTCAACTTAAAAGAAGATTGTGAATATTGCTGTTGTACAAATGCAACAATTAAAATAAAATTTTCTTCTTTTCTTCTTTAAAGGTCATATTTGGCTGGTCTTAGGCAAAGTGTAGTTTACTTATAAAGGTAACATAACTTTTCACTTGGTTTTTGAAATAGGTGACAGACAAACTGATTTCTCACAACCATAGTCTTGCAAGCAATTCTCGATGTAATAGGGCATTTCAAATGAGAGACGGCTTATTGGAATTACTATTACACATGCAGGGGCTCGTTGTTTATTACTTTAATTATAAAACATATATGTTCTGTATTAGAACAAACCTGTTAGAAAGTTAGTTTTCAGAACTGAGTGAAAGGCTTTTCGGAGACAATGACAAATTAACATTGAGAGTGAAATTACTTTATCAGGTAATAAACTTATGACCGTTGAACCGTTTCTAGATAATTGGCTTTTATAACATTTTCCATGTGTACTTTCCATTTATTGTTGGAAAAATATTTATTTACAGCTTGTATATTTAAAACTACATAAACGGTGGTGCATAGTCTGATGTTTTTTAGTCGTCCATTCCATGTATAGAGAGACGGCGCTGTAGTAAAAGTGCGTTGTCCAGCAGCGCTTCAAAACAGGGGAGTAATCAACGAGGTCGAATTTCTTGTACAACGTCAATAGTATCTGACAGGAACACCGTGCAACTCATTGGGTCCAAAGGTTTTGAGTGATTAAATGTTGCTTTCAGGTTCCAAATAATTAGAAAAACTTAGGTAGACGTTTTGAATAAGGAGGATTAAGTGTGTGTGCAGATCCAATAAACGAGGTCCATTTATAGTCTTAATCTTCGATGTCTAACCATAAATAAAAGATAATTTGAAGTATTGGTTGTGACAAAACATGTTGCAACCCAATATTAGACCAGTTTTTTGCAATTGGATAACTGCTGGTTCCAAAACATAAACTTAACCTTAGCACATTTAGCTTGAGGTGACAAAGTGTTCGAAAATTTGGAGTACTACTCATATAACCATCCAATTGTGTAACAAATTAATATCTTCCTTTCTGCTAAGCTATTTCCAATGTTACATTTCCTCAGGATACGTACGAGTAAAGAGTTTGAGTGCTGTAAGTATTGGTTGATAAATAAACATTAGTAAAAAATAACATCATTTAAAAGACATCATATGAGAGACATTTAATGCAATCTAACTCAAACCAAAAGAGTTATCAAGTCTGATGTAACTATGCCTAATATGAAAAAATTCTTGGGTAAATATCTCAGTCTATACCGTAAAAGTCTTTAAGCTTAGTCTAGCAGGCAAATTTATTAATCATATGTCATTGGAGTTTCTTGGCAGTGTCAATGTTTACGCATTCATTGCTGGTGCAAAGTTGTGTGCATGAAAAACCAGTATTCAGGCACTTGCATCTCTTGTTTGCACATCCAGATGTACAGTTACAGGTTACAACCAATTCATCAGGAAGAAGCTTGACATGTTTTTGCGGCTGTAGTTCATCATCCATAATATCCCAGCGATATTCATCTGGTTGCAGGAAATCGTATTTCCCAAGTGAAGACGAAGAATTCATTTTCTTGTACAAGAACCACCATCTAGGAATATGTCCGTGTCGAACAGAATGAGTTGTTGGGGGAAGATTTCTGACTGATCCAGACTTTTTCCATACTTTTACTCTTAACTCATCAAACGTATCTTCGGTAGCGTTGTTGCTGTATGTTTTAACCAAGTATTTTTCAGCTTGATCAAGTTGATGTCTATCCAGAATCCCAGGGAAACCAAACCTGCTGCGATAATCTTTAGGGCGAGCTGCCAATCCACTTTTCCTATTGCCAATTTTGCTAAGATAGTCACACCCTGTCCCTATGTGACCCTTAAGAAGGTTTTTGAATGAATCTTTCCCAAGTGTACTACACAAAATATGAACAGGAAGGAGACTTTTATTTGTTCAAGTTTCAATCTCCAACCAAAGCTGTTGTAGTGCACTATGATTAAATTTATGAAAGTAGTAAATTAATAACACCAATACGTCTGTGTCATTCTAAATCGTTATAGCACATTCACAAGAAGGAAAAAACATAACATTCCAATGAATGTGTGCAATGAGTCTCCAGTCTACTTCTTCATAATTGAGTTAAAGTTCAGGAATTACAGAGTAAGAATCATCATCACTTTTGAAAATAGTAGCAGACGTAGGATAGTCATCAACCACACCACTTGAAACAACAGTCACCCCCATTTTCTTAGCTAGATCCAGCAGTATTGATGATGCAAACGTTTGGAGGAGAACTTTGTTTTTGTCAGACGTCCAGAATTTATTCATTTGCTAAGAAATTCGAGTGTCATGGTCAATTTTTGCCAAATGAATAACCCCATGTTTGCCTCGCTTGTCACGCTCCACCCTCTTCAGTGAGAGCTCAAGATAACTATCAAAAACAACATGAATTACGCTGCCGAAGTGCTTCTTTATTAATGTTGATAGGACATGAGTAGCGACAGCTCCAAAAGTACACCATAAACGTTTGGTGCGAGCTGGCATGGAATGTAACTCATAAAATCTAAAAAAACAGACATTCGCGACGGGTTCTTATGAAAATCATAATCGTCCGGAATAAGATAGGCTCTTAGCAGTGCAATCAGTTGTGATTTATTTAATGTAGTCATGTCTGACCATCAAACAAGTAGTTGTGAGATCTTATGGCATGCTGAAGGACATATTCCAGATTTTTGCACTTGTTGTTTGCTATAGTGAAGATTTTAATACCCTTGTTGTTTGCTATAGTGAAGATTTTAATACCCATTTTTTCATTTCTCTTAAGTGCCTTTTTTAATGGCAGGTTGTTTTTTGCTGGATTGACAAAGTTAATGAGCTTTAAGTTAAACTTGTTAATCTTGTCAGCCAGAAGCCTAGTCTTATATACAAATACAGATTTTCTGAACTCCTCCTACTGCTCTTCAATATTTTTAATAAATGAACAATGAGCATGGGCTACGCGCTCTTCTGCTTCGATCTGGGTCAAAAAATTTTTGAACTTGTGATTTGAAGATAACTGAGCTTCCACATAGGGATTACCACGAACTTCCATGAACTCGGTCAACTTAAAAACACCATTATTTACAACTTCATTCTTTCTCTATGTAAGATGATGATGGGAAAGCGTTTCAGTGCTTCCTCCAGTATCTGCCCCAGTTATATCTCGGAACCAGTTCTTAATAACAAGGACGTCTTGGTAGATTACTGACCAATCTGTAAGATAGTCAATAGCTTTACTTCTACCAATTATGCTACCAACACTTTTGGCAGACCTCTATATTGTTTGCTCTAGCTTCATATCAACAGCAACAACATTAAAATGTCCAGCCGACCTCTTGATGACAAAATCTCCACTTAGAAAAGAAGAGTACAGATCAGGATGATTGCCTTTGAGCGATTTCAGTGCTTCTAAGTAGATCTGTAACCTGTTTCTGAACCATATCTAATGTAGTGAATGGCATCAGCTCCGAGGAAAATCGGACATAATTGTTGAACACTCTGAAAGCTCAGCAAGAAATCGCCATCTCTATCAGCTCGCACTAAATTTTTAATCACTTCCATTATATATTGAAAATTCTTCCAGAACTGGCACTGCTCTGATTGAGAAGCGCATATTTCCTCAAATAGTCGGATTGCAGTGAGTAGAGAGTTGACATCTTTATCTGCTTGCAACTCTTTCAGAAGTTTCTGAGATGATGAAAACTTTCTCTTGTAAACGAAATTGCTGGGTTTTGAGAGTTTATTAAGGGCAGAACTAATAGACAAATAGATAAATTCTCTCCATATGAACAAGTCCTATAGGTGCGTAGAGAACCAATTAAAAAATTTACGTAAAACGCCAATATCTTCTATTTTTAAGATTAGGAATTTATTTATCATTCTATGCTATCAAAAGCATTGCTCATAACGATATGGACCAACGTAGTTGTATTATCAATTGTGTTGTATAGTCTTATTTAACGGTGTTTGGGTTGAGTGTAGTCTTTCATTGCTACTCTGACTGGATAATAGATGTGTTTTTAAATATAGATATTCCTGTAATTGATTCAGAATTAAGATAAGAAAGTTTGAAATACAGTTTTAGTCTTCAAAACGGGATTAGGAAAACGTCGAGGGTTTGGGTTAAGATTAGTTTAGATTTGGGTCATTTCTTCGTGAGTTATTTTTGACAGTGGAAATCAAGATTAGAAGAAGAACTAATGTAACATTTCCTTTTAGTTGTCTCTTGCATCCGCTGTATTTTGAGCAGCTCTAGACCTAAACCGAACTAGCACCAAAACATTATTAATGTTATTCATTATCAATCGTTTTCTAGGTTTATCAAGCTATAAAGTGAAGCAAGTCTCGCGTTGTTTACGTTTTTCTGGCAGGCAGATTAATCCTAAAGTAGGTTAAGCATTGTTGTCAGTTTTGTTGAAAATAACTGGACCAAATCTGCCTGCCAGCAGAATGCAAACAAGGCAAATCAACAACTAACTTTGTCATGCAATGAATTACTGGAGTCGGAAAGACTAAATTGACGTGTGTAGCCATCTTTAAAGAACCATTGTGTAAAAGTAAGTTGTTTTATTTTTTCAAACTGCAGTGATTTCATTCTGTACATTCCCCCCCTCTCTTCGGCTATTGAGCTGGTACAATACTTGTTTGTGGACATATGAATTCAATAGTTTAGGGCCTGTTTCAATGAAAGTAAGTTTACTCTAGCAAAAAGTGTACCTTATTACGCGTTTTAAAAAACAATGATTGTTCATATAAGATAGGGTTGGCATCTAAAAACGTCCGGGTCAAATATAACACAAACAGGGTTAAATTGTAACCCGGAAACTGGTCAATATGCCACCAACGCAAGTTGGGTTAAAACGACCCGGAAACCTTGCTCAAAATATTTGGCTCGGATTTCCAGGTTAAATTTTTAACCCAGATTATGGTTAAATTTGACAAAGGACAAGATTAAACATCAACAAATGTTTGTAATAATGTTAAAGATTGGCAACTTGATCGATACAGCAGTATAATCGTCTTAAAAAAGATGAAACTAAGAAAATAACTGTAAAACATATGATCTAAAAATCAGTTAATTACAACACAGTTATTCACTAGTATGACTGGTAATTGAAAATTTTTATATATGTCTCATTGACCACGATATTTACTTTAAAGCAGCTCTTAAGCTACAAAATTCTCTTATGGTCTCACACTACTAACAATAACGAATGTCTTCTATATAAAACGGTTTCAAGCATTCTACTATAACTTTCAGCAAGCTATGTTGCTCAAAAATAAAATTGTTCAGCATTTTCTCTGTTACCAAGTGTAAAATCATGAGGATCGAGATCTTCTGGCTGTATCCAGATTTTTGGTATGCATGAACCAATCTGTAAAATAGCAAGATGGAGACTGAAGTATTTCAATTCTGCAATTTCCTATGATGCGTTGGACAAGCTAAAGTCTAACCTCTTGTCTTTCAATGTCCTCAATTTTTAAACCGTATTCTAAAGTTTCTAAACTATTAATAGGTATTAAGGCATGGCTCTCATTGATGAGTTTAACGTAGCGTCTTTTTTACTCATTTTTATGGCTGAAAAACAGTTAGCTACAAGCTAACAACAACAGAAAACTGATTTTGCTCTTTCACAATATTATGACCTTCAAACAGTGAAACTTTCACAATATTATGACCTTCAAACAGTTTAAAGAGTGAAACAAAAGTTCGTGCTAAAATATGTTTTTTCAGACACAAAACTCAAAGCATGATTTATGACTGAGATAGAACTCAAAAGCATTATGTTTTGTTGTGCGTTATAGCTACTTCAATTAGCCAACATTGTGAATCGAAAAACCGAAGATTAGTACTGTTAAATTACCTGATGTTCTCGCATTGGCGGCCCAGAAATCTGTTTATGTTTTTTTATGAAAAGGATTTATGTAGTAAATATATTCCTTGATTTATATGCAATGTTTGTCACGCTATCTCAGGTGAGTTACACGTATGTATGGTTTATAGGTATTATATTTTGACAAGGCAGGCAACTCTCAACACAAAATTAACGTCCGTTAACACAAGCACTTTTTACAAAACCGTAAATATCTTACAAGTACATGGAAAAACACGAAAAATAAATACGTCTCATTAATCATGAATAATTTTACATGAACCCAACAAAATTGACCTGCTCACCACGGTGTGACTTCATAGCTCAGTTGGTCAGAGCACTGCACCGGCACCGCAGAGGTCATGGGTTCGAATCCCGTTGAGTCACCTGACTTTTTCATGAGACAATTGCTTAAATTGTCCAACAAAGTGCGAAGATCATATCTACATTTAATAATTTTGCTATATTTTCGCAGTGTTTTTAACATTAAAATGTATTTCTATGCATTAGAAAAACGCGAATGTTTTTAGGGTTTGTGGCAAATATTTCTCAAAATGTAATAGTCTAATAATAATACATATGTACTATACATTTCATTGTTATATGAAATATATTGTACATATGTATTATTATTAGACTCTTACAGCTGCACCATAGTGAAAGTAAGCTATTGAAATAATCATTACAGATTCAACATGCTGCACATGCTTAAAAGAAATGCAAAAGTTTCTGGAAGGTGGATGATGGAAAAGACAACTTGACAATTTATCTACCATAGTTTGCGATATCATATCAGTTTATTCAGGCAGGCAACATAGGTAGTTTTAATCTTCTAATTTTTGACCATTTTTAAAGACAACAGAGGTTATATATATGAGTTAGAAGTGCTAGAGAATAAAATATTGAAATACAAAATTGTCTTGCCTGATAAGTTTGTCTTGGTATTGGCAGTACAGCAGAGTAAATTTAGGCATTTATTTTGCAATACTACCTTCGCAATAATACTAACAGTTAATTGCTCTGTATTTATTCTTTCACATATTAATTGATTATTTGCAATGATTCTGTTTAGACGAGGCCCAAACAATTTTATGATCACTGAAATATGTCTCAAATACACCACAGTTAATATACATCTGATCATGATCAATATTGGTATACAGATGATCAAGCAATGTGTTGTAGTCTGTTGTGCAAGTTGATATCTGTTGTTCATAGCTATTCATTGTAATCGTTACATTATGCAAGAATTGTCTTTCAGCAACATTCATCCAGTTTATATTAAAATAACCCGGAATAATATTTTTTTGACAATCATATTTACCTAAGATATTATTCAATGCCATATACAAATGGCTTTTGGGAACTTTTGGAGAACAATAAATGCCTATGATATGCCATTCTTCATTACTCACCAATTTCACTATAGTAACTTCGATGCAATTAATGTTGTTAATGCGAGGATAACCTTGTACAAATGGTACTTTAATGTAAACTGCTGTATTACTAAATGGTCGTGTATTGTCAATAAACTCGAATGAATGGTTTCTGAACAGTGCTACATAGTCATCAATTATATGTCAACATTGATTTGTTGCATTCGCAAGTTTTATTACAAGTCATTTAAGGCAACGCAAATAAAACACTGCCAAATAAGACATTATCAGCATATCAATAACACAGGCTCAATGGCTTGAGAATCTTACAAGCACAAAGGCATGAGCCAACTTTTTAAGCAAGCGCGACTGGCGTTTGAGTCTACTTCATAAACAAACACCGTAAAGGCGTTTGAGTCTACTTCAGTACGTATCCCTGATAAAAAACGGCCAGTTTAATTACAATCGCTCAACCTAACAAAAGCAAGCGGCACAAAAAGTGTAGCTTAAAGCAAAGCGAAATAGCCCAATAAATACGTAAACCTTTTAAACTGACAAGTTACAATATGGTATTGTGGTGTGGCCATACTCGTGCACTAATCGTAACACCTTTGTGTCTGTCCTATCGAACCGGTAGCTTCCGTCGAATTTCGGTGGTGGACACGCTATAAAGCCTCAATGCCACACTACACGATAGCAATATGTCTCGCTGACGGTTTCACAAGTCAACGGACATAATGATTATGATTTGTTTACCACTCCTTTTGTGCGCCGCCATTTTGATTTTTAACTGGATCCCGAATTTGGGTCATTTATTGTTATATTTGAATATGATCACAAATGACCATAAAAGTACCAGTCATCCGGGTCAAAAGAAGAAAAATTGACCAAATTTGGGTGATTTTCAATTGACCCAGAATTTTTAACCCGGACGTTTTTAGCGTATCAATTTCGGTTGGGTGACCCATTTGAGTGAAATGAAGAATACACGTGAATTTGCTCAAGAGATATGATGTGAACATCCCTCCTGAAATTTTAATCTCCTGCGTTCAAATGCAAACAGAAACAATTAATCCGATTGGGTAATCGTATTTATTTGATTATAGGAAATGGTAGTTATTTTTGCGTTGTCTTTGTCAACAGCGAAAAGGAACTTATCTCTCCAGAAATGTATGACTAGGATGTTTAACAATTTACTGAAGAAACAATGGCTCCGTAGTATTTTTAACGTTTAATGAACAATGAGCCCCGCTGTTATATCCAAAAATCCTGAATTATGCAAATTAATGATAAAGGCATGAATCTTGGACAATTTATCATTCGTCTCAATAGCAAACTTTTCTGATATTGTGCAAGTTCAAATATGCCAATGTGACAGAGAAATACTCATGTCCGTATTTATTTGATACGAAAACTAGACTTAGACTATTTACTTTCTTAATTGATGTTTTTCTAAAAAGATTCTTTCAAAAACATGCAAAATTCAACTTAAAGAACTATCTCACTACCTTTGACTGCCATGGTTCTTAAATGTAGAATTGTCACCCTTTTGTAGTCTTTATAAACTGAGTAAAAGGAAGAACACTTTAAGCTTTTCCAGCCTTTACAGCCCACAGCGAAGGTAGAAAAATTCATCTGGTATCAGAGCATTACAGTAGTGATGTTTCATCTATAGTGGAGCAGTTTATTGAAATTCGTGGTCCATAGCAAAAGCAACATAGTTTGTCAGGAAAGGGATATTGATACTGAAATACTGGATATTAAAATTTATTACATCCTTACACTGCAATTTGAGAAATGTCGCCAAGATTTTATGTGTTAGTATATTTACAATCATCACATGAAAGCGAGAAGAGTACGGTCTAAACATTGACTATTGAATGTAATTGTTACAAATATCCAATGAACATTGGATAGTGTCGTTGAAAATATACGAAAACCGACTGCAAATGATTGGAGGGCTTAGGTTAATGAGACCTTGCCAGATACATACAACTGTTTTCAACGAAGATAGGCACCACTCACTTACGAGAATGTTTGGTTCTTCTATACTGCTGCATTGCTGGTTATTTTCGATTACTTGTTTTTTCTACTTGCTTTGTGCAGATAGCAATAGAACAGCATAGTTCTAGGAAAATTTTTAAGAATGAGGCGGTACGAAGTTTGTAGTGACAATGGTATGGTGAGCTTTGAACTACTTACTTACATGCGTAAAGCAGCTTTCTGCTGGATTAGACGACCGTAGCGGTATTTTTTCACAAAGAACCAAATTGTTTAAGGTATTCTCGGTTAGACAGTTATACAAGGGTTAATTAACAAGGCTATTTTATGCAACGCTGATATTTCTTGAAGGCATTTTTTTGCAACTCAAGGTTAGACAAGAATATTCATTGATAAACATCACATTGTATTGTTTACGAAATTGAGACAAAGGCAACGAGCAGATTAAATATATCTGTATCAAATGACTTCAAATAAATTGTAGCGAGAGACTTGTCGAGCGGAAATCGAATTCGTGTGATAAAAATTAATGCCCAACATAAAGTTCTAATTAGAGCCATAGAAACAGACCAGAAAAATTGTAAAATTAAATTTATTGTGACGTTTCGTCTTTACTCAAGACATCTTCAGACAAATAATAAATGGGATGTGAAGACAAGATATTATATTTACAAAAAAGTGTTAAATTACTACTAAAGGAAGCGGTGTCGAATGATTTAATGAAAGAAATGCTAAAGGAAGCGGAAAGAATGATTTAATGAAAGAAATGCTAAAGGAAATACTAAGGAGATTATTTTAAGCATTCTTTCTCACATTAACACGACTGGACACACACCCAACTTAGACGACTTTAAAATAATCTCCTCTTCCAACGATACTTATGAACTCTCCATTCATGAAAGCCTTCTAATCAATAAACACAAGCCTTCACGTAATGTGCAAGGAAACTCCATTCCACTTAACCTCTTTTAATTTCTCTTTATTTCACTTCCTAACTTCCTTATCATGTATCCATTTGACACCGCTTCCTTTAGTATTTCTTTCATTAAATCATTCTTTAGTATTTCCTTTTGCATTTCTTTCATTAAATCATTCTTTCCGCTTCCTTTAGCATTTCTTTCATTAAATCATTCGACACCACTTCCTTTAGTAGTAATTTAACACTTTTTTGTAAATATAATATCTTGTCTTCACATCCCATTTATTATTTGTCTGAAGATGTCTTGAGTAAAGACGAAACGTCACAATAAATTTAATTTTACAATTTTTCTGGTCTATTTCTATGGCTCTAATCAGAACTTTATGTTGGGCCTTAATTTTTATCACACGACTTCAAATAAGAATAAGTTGATGTCGAACACACAATAGTCCGAGTCATCTGTTGCGCAAACATTAAAGGGGAAGTCAGAGTTCGGAACAACTTTGGCCCAAATGAAAGATTATATTTTTATTACCTTATATACCAAATATTATATTTTCTAGTTAAATACAAGTCGAGATATAAAGCGATGAAACCACGAAATTTTGTATATTTTGTATCAGCTATTATGTACATGCGTGCGAACCTGCGATCAAGCAGCGGCAAAGTCTCGTGACGTCACTGCGCGCTTTCGCGGGAGCGTATATACATTCAAATAGACAACATATCAGGAAAAGCGACACAATTACAATTACTTTGTTTACTTTAAATATTTCGGAACAATGCCACATTGCATGGTGCCTAATTGCACTAACGGATCTAGAAAAACAAAAGGTAGCGATGTATCGTATCATCGATTGCCAAACGACCCAACAATGCAAAAAATATGGCTTGCACGGGTTCGTCGTGATAATATACCGAAGCCAAATTCGTGTTACGTATGTAGCGACCATTTCACCCCAGATTGCTTTAGTACTTCTCTAAAGGAGATATTCGGCATGAAATCGAAAAAGATATTAAAACCTAGTAGTGTACCATCGATATTTCCATTTTTAAATCGTAAACCCGAGCGAAAAATGTCACACAGAAGAGAACAAATGAGAGATAGAATTGCAAGACGTGAGGTAAATAGGATATTGCAACCATATAGATTATATTTGAAGTTATTGAACTGTTCTTTAAACAATTAGCTTTGTACTCTCTTGGTTGAGAAGTTTGACTATTTTGTAGGAAGTTAGAAGCATAATACAATCACTAGATGAAGATACAAATCTTGCAACATGCATTGAAGATCAGCCTCCCAGTCCATTGTCCAAGGATGCCCAGATTCAATGTGAGCCAAAAGTTTTCATTGATGCAGAAGCACAGTGTGATACACCAAGACAAAGGACAGTTGCCATACAAACTCTTGCACAAAGAAAAGGAAACCATTAAAAATAAAACGCTTCAAAAATGTTGCCCCTCTTTAAATGCAGTTTCTTCAAGTCGTACACCAAAACCAGTAACATCTCCCACAACTCCTAACACAACAACTCCTATCATAACAACTCCTATTATATCATCTGATTCAGAAATCTCTTTAGGAAGCAGTGATGATATTGCTGCATCAGATAGTGATGATGATTATACCTATCTTGAGGAACTAGATACAGATGAGGAATCTGAAGGTGAGGAACTAAAAAATCAAAGAAAATTCATTGTCTTTGAAAGCATGCTTGATAAGCTGTTCGCAACATGTAGAATATGTGGTTCTCTTTGTGAGATTGAGAAGTCCCATATTGGTAGTATGGTTGCCATAAAAACAACATGTAGCAATAATCATACTTACCAGTGGAAGTCTCAACCATATTTGCACAATAAACCAGCAGGTAATATTTTAATTCCTGCTGCAACTATCATGACTGGAGGAACCTATGAAGCCACCAAACAATTTGCAAATGCAATTAATTTAAACTTTGTAAATAAAGATCAGTTTTATGAAGTTCAAAATAAGATTGTCTTCCCAGTCATTGACAATGTCTATAAAAAACAACAAAAGAAATTATTGAAACCATCAAAACAAAATGAAACCGGTTGACTTATGTGGTGATGGTAGATCAGACAGTCCTGGTCATAGCGCAAAATATGGTACATATTCCTTAATGGATGAAACTTCAGAGAAAATTATTGACTTTTCTCTTGTTCAAGTCTCTGAAGTTTCATCCTCTAATGCAATGGAGAAAAAAGGATGCCAAAGAGCACTTGACAATGTCATTGAGCAAGGTGTGAAAGTGAGATCATTGACAACTGACCGCCACATTCAAATAACCTCTGAAATGCGAAAGAGGTACCCTTCCATAGTGCACCAATATGATGTTTGGCATCTCTCAAAGTGGGTGACAAAAAAATTGACAGAGAAGGCAAAGAAAAAAGAAAATCATGAGCTACTAGAGTGGATTCAGTCTGTATCCAATCACCTTTGGTGGTGTGCACAAAGTTGTCAGGGAAATGCTGAAGTGCTCCATGAGAAATGGGTGTCCATTTTACATCATATAGTCAACAAACACAATTGGAGAAATAGCAAACATTTTGCAAATGTGCACATGGCCCTTTATCTAAAACAAAGAAAGAAAAGAAATGGTTGCAGGCTGGATCTGCCCCACATATAGCATTGGAGGAGGTTGTTCTGAATAGAAAGCTTTTAAAAGATATACAACAGCTTACAGAATTTCACCATACTGGCAACCTTGAGGTCTACCATTCCTTGCTGCTAAAATATGTACCAAAACGTAAACACTTCTCATACAAGGGAATGGTGGCCCGTACTCAACTAGCTGTGATTGATCACAACTCCAACACTGGAAGGAGGCAAGCAACAGTCACCAGAGGTAAGGAAGAAGGGGAAAAAAGGTATAAGGTGGTCTTCCCAAAGGACGTAAAAATGGATAGTGAAACCAGTGTTGGAGAAAAAGTGTTTTGATTTTGTACTGCAACTGATGGATGATGTGGTAGAGTTCAATGTGGACATGAATCCTCAACCATCAGACAAGCATGTTAAACTTCCAAAGAATATTGCACCTACTCCAAGACCAAGCAAAAAAGAAGTGATAGCAGCACACCGATCACGAATGGCTGAAATACACACATAGGTGTGGCTAAATTATAGAATACCTGGCAATTTTAAATATCAGAAATTTTTCTTGTTAGAGAATGACTAGACAGACCTGGCTTTTATATAGGCCAAGTAAACAGTCAATTAAGTATTTAATAAATGATAATATGACAGCAAACAACTAGCTGCTACAAAAGAAACAGTCAAGCCAGGTATCCTATAGTTTATTACTCTGACAAAATGTAATCTTTGCAATTGAACAAATTATAGCTACATATGAGACAAAGCCAGCCTGCAAATTTGGTTCTAAAGAAATTAATAATGGTAAAGCTAAGAAATTAACATCACAGGACAAATTTGCAAGCTAGCTTGGCTAGTGATTGTTTATATTATTATTACTATACATAAAACTAGGTGTTTATGTCCTACTTTTGTCAGTCGTGCAGATAATTAACATGCTATTCTATAGCTAGTGCCACATGGCAATTTGAAGCATGTTGCTCCCGTTACTTGAGAAATAGCTACCATGTTGCCAGTAATTTTTTACGCCATCGTGGGCTTTGTAGTAATTATGGTTAGAATAAGGTTCGGTGTAAGTATAAGTTAGCAACAGCGCTTTGAAATTCAGAAATTGAAGATGGCATCAACAGCAAGGTTTTACGATTTACCTACAATTTACAACACAGAATACCTTGTGCTAAAACAGAAAAACAAAGTGGGAACAGTTTCTTAAGTAGCGGAGAGTTACACAACCGGTTATCTAACACTTAAATAATAATCTTCCGCGACTGCCAAGTATGTGGGCACGGCCTACATATTAATACAATTCTTTAATAAACAAACTGTGATTTCGAGGACTGTAAATATGGTGAACCAGATAAAAGAGTACATATATATATATATATAAAATGTTATATAGAAATATACAAATACCTCGAAAATTGTGGTGTCGTTAAAACTCTGAATTAGAATCTTCAATACACATATTTTCTGCTTTCGTCTTAGCATGTCAGAAAAATATGTCCCCGTTTCATTAACCAGTTCAAAAGTATAATATTTAAACCCTCCATTTATCTTTGAAATTTCTTTACCATCTTTTAAGTTAGAACAGGTTAAAATATCGCTCGAAGAATCGTTTAAATACGCCATTTACCTAGAAGACTTTAAAATTGACAGACAAAATATCTATTCTATTCTCTTCGAAATTGCTCGATTACAGAGTCGCGCAGTGACGTAACGATGTAATTCCGCTGCTTGATCGCAGGTTCGCTCGGATGTACATTTATATTTGCAAAATAACGCAGTTTCATTGCTTTATTTCTCGAGTTGTATTTAACGTAAAGATTTTAGACTTGGTATGCAAAGTAATAATATAATACTCTTTCATTTGAGCCTAAGTTGTTCCGAGCTCTGACTTCCCCTTTAAGTAAATTATAGGATTAAGTTAGATAAAATCGCTGAGTCAACTGACGATGCTCTTAATAGATCTGGATAGGGTAGCTGGCAAATTTGAAGTAGAGCCAACAATCCATAATATTAAGCCCTCCACTAGCAAAATTGAAAAACTTAAGAATTTGAAACTCGGGATAATTACAACCGCCCAGAAAACTGCGAGTCTCTCCATTCAGCTCTTGTAAATCCTTAAGTTTGGGATGATGAATGATGACAGATGTCTTAAATAATACTGTTGTACAGCAATTTGATTGCTTATAGGAAGCATCAACAAACAGCTTACTGCCTCATCGACATGATGCATAATTGGTTATATCTTACGTTGACTTCCTTGATAAGCACATCTGTCCAAAGCTTTTGATCGAACACAATGTGTTCCATCATCCATAAAGACAAACAAGCAAATAAACAAACAATAAATTGCCGAAATATCAACAACGTGCGCAGTCCAAAGTAACCTGATCTAAGCGAAAACACTTCTTCCTTTGTCACTCTTCTAATCTTCTTGTGATAGGTAAATCCCTTTTTTACTACTTAATTTTTTTATACTTTGTAAATACTGTCATTTCTATTCTTTACATTTTTTTTACAGTAGCAATTCATATCATTGCCATAAGCTGGGCATTAATGTTCATTATAAGATTATTTGCAAAGTACAAGAATCGGTTCGATAGGCTTTTTTGGTTGGGCTACATGCTTCAAATACTCTCGCCACAAAGAAACAGAATGAAATTGATATGAAGCAGTTGCTAACTTTACAAGAAAACCAATGACAATGAGAAAAACACTAGAAAAGTCTCTACAAGTCTTTACTAGAAAACCAATGACTAGAACTTTTGCATTAAAGTACCAATGAAACAAAAACTTTGCTATTTGAATGGTGCTCTTATTTAAGAGAAATTTTAAAATGACAATGAACATTTTAAACCAGTTTATGCAATCACTTTTAATTCTTGCTTGAGGTTCTTGCTTTGTCCGATATATTTAACTTGTGACGTCACATTGCATAATGAGAACTAAAATTATTAGGTATATTTACCGATACTTAAATTGACAAGAACAGAGTTTCCTTCATTGTGACGTGGTTAATGGTATAATATATAAAATGCTGCCTACTTGTATCAACCTAAAGTTGAAGAGTATTTGAAACATTGTTGGAATTGGAAATAACAAAAACGTCAAAATCACGAGAATAAAAAGAGATATGCATTAACTGTTTTAGAAAGTACACTATCATTTCAAAAGTTCTAGTCATTGCAACAATAATTTAAATTGCAAAATTTTCATTTCATAGTCACATTAAGCTTTTACTTCTCATGTAGTTTCATGCAACGACTGTTTGGCTAGCCTATATAAACACACCTGCTGTTCACTCTGGATGTTTAGCGTGGACAGGTATTGCGGAAAATAAGACTATATAAATGGAACCACGCCGAGCACTTTTGACAGATTCGGGAAACGCTCTTCGCAGCGTTAGTAGAAATTCACTTGAGTTTTTCTCCTGAGAGAGTTTTTTGGCGTGAAAACATTTGTATTGAGTGCTGAATTCCAACAGCTACAGAAAGCAACTATCAAAACTAGAAACTTGTTTATTTCGTTCACTCCCCAACAAATTCTTACATTTTCCCCATGCAGGTGAACTGTACCCCAGTGCCCCCGACGATGTCTTTCTTTGGAATAAAGACCAAATATTTCCAATTATATCTCCAAGGTCATGTTTCTTATCTTGAACATCAGGAAAACGTGGTGTCTACAATTGGAATTTGTTCAACTTTGGACTTCAATGCATAGTGAGTTAAGGATAGGCAAAGAAAAAGAGTTAAATGCCAAAATTTGTCTTTAACCTTTACGCTCTTGGCTAATTGTGCAATGTTTTATGTAGTTGCCTCTTGCCTTTGAATGAAGTTCGGCAAGGCGCTCATTTGAGTCGAAGTTGCCTGGATATTCTTCATTCATTTTCACTATAGCTTTATATTTTGATCACTGAAGGCATTTCTAAGTTTTGTTTTGTTGTCATACAACTTTGAAAAAGTTGTCTCTACTACTGCTGTGGTCTGGGGTTACGCTGCAATTTCTTGTATTAGTGGATACGTCCTTGTACGTCGTCGATGGCTTTGCAAAATTTTGTTGACTGTCTGGCTTCAACTTCACTGATGGTTGATGGCTTGCACACCACAGAATTGGAAAGGTCTTTTTGAAAGTTTGGAAACAAATAGGCCACCAAATCTTGCATCAGACTTTCCATCCTCAATGGCCACATGATCAACATCGACGAATTCTTCCAAGATGGAACAGCTTAGGCAGATACGCTTCTGCAGCTGGTGAATTCATTCCGGACACCAGTTGCAGCAAAGTTTAAGAGAACCCGCGTTTTCTTGCAGTGAATCAAATTTCTTGGTCCGCTTTGCCGAGCCAACTCGGCACATTGCGATTACATGGGAATTTCATCCCGCCTAAGCGAGTAACTCGAACAGCAACAACCGGGATCTCGGCAAGGCGGGACAACTCGCTTGCCACGTAATCAAACTGTCAAAATAATATATAACAATTATACAAAGCGAGACAACTCTGCAAAATGAGTCAACTCGCCCATGTAGTCGGCCCCCTAGAAATATGATATTTAAAATTATTAGATTTTGTAGATCATTTGAAATTGCGACCCCCGATTGATACATTCTACCTATGGGCCGCAGAAGCGGACAAAACTGCTGTATTGCAAAAATTCATGCTAAGTGCAAATATTCATGCTAAGTCCATACACAATCATCGTAAGATCAAAAATTCATGCTAAGTTGGGTAAGTGCAAAAATTCATGCTAATTAAAATTCATAGTCTACCCGCAACACACCTGAAAATCGTAAGGTGAAACTCAAACATTGTATAATCTAAAGAGAAAATACGGCAGAAAGGAGTAATTTTCTCGAGTTTTTTTGACATTTTAAAGGGTATTCTTTCTCAAATACAAAACGTTTATTAAGGAACGCCAATTATTATTAAATGATCTGTTTCCTTGGATGCTCTTGAAAAATAATTCGTAAAAATGGTCCAATGGACGAAGCATGTGATACTTGCGGGTAGTGTTACAGTTAACTGTGTTACTCGATGGTTTGAATCCAGAAAAAGATTTGCTTCGGTTTTCGTTTGCCATAAAACAGTATATTGAAGAAGAAAACAACCAACTTACTACCGATAAATTGTTTGTTCACCCATAAACTGTTCGAATTTCCTCTACCAAGAGTAGTTGACGATGTGGAGGTCCGCCTCGCTTTGAATGAAGAACAGGTATTGTTCTTAAGGTCGAAGCATTTTACTGGAACATTGACAAGGAAGCAGATCAGTTATCAATAAATGGCCCTTCTTAAAAAACGTTTTGTATTTGAGAAAGAATACCCTTTAAAATACCTAAAAAACTCAAGAAATTAATCCTTTTTGTCACATTTTGTCCTTAGATTATGCAATTTTTGAGTTTCACCCTACGATTTTCAGGTGTGTTGCGGGTAGACTATGAATTTGAATTAGCATGAAATTTGCAATATAGAAGTTTTGTCCGCTTCGGCACCCCATATTCTGCCACGCTTGCTAACTTTGCGATCCATAATTTCATTCGTTTAATTAGGATATAAACTAGTTTAACTAGTCGCCAAACAACTAGTTATATCGTCAAAACTTGGCGTTACGCTCGCTACTGTGGTTACGCCCTCACAACAACAAGTTACGCCTTCAAAAGTGACACATTTGCCAGATCAAAGTAATAGCTTTCGCCTGACAAACATGCTTATTATAACTTTTTAAAACGTTGAGTCGAATGCACGGTTAATAGTAGCTTGCAAATGGTTGTCATACAAAAGTGTAGTAAAGTGGGACCGATACCCCCAACGAAGGTCGTAAGTAAATGAGCCAACATCCGGCTTCAATTTTTGTACTATATTTTATACATTGATATGTTACCCACAGTGGGCCAAATATCAAAGAATCCTTAAATTTTGATCAGGGATATATCGGGCGGGAAGCAAATTCTTATTATGAATATTGTCAAACAGTATTAAAGTATTAAATTACAAGTATAGAGGGATATATATATATATATATATAATAGCTATTTACATAATATTAAATTACGTGGTGAAATGAAAAAACGTGAAAACGTAAATGTGGGATAAGATGGTATGAAGTGGGATAAATGGAAATCATGAAAGAAACAAAAAACACAGAATCACAAAGTATACATGAGGAAGACGAAATTAGATTAAAGCAACTTAAGGACAATGGAGTTTTTGTGGACGTTAAGAGATGGTTTCATTTTGTTGATTAAGAGACTTTCGTGAATAAGAAGTTCTTGTGAGTCTGAGCATGAAGAAAGTATTTTAAAATCTTCAACGGTGGCGGTGTGTCCTGTGGATTTAAGGTGTGATAGTATGGAGGAATGATTGGGATGCTTAGAAGGTTTATCAATGAAAGGGGTGATGCCCAAATGCTCTGAAATTCGAGTGTGTAGGTGGCGGGTGGCTTGACCCACGTACGATGCAGAGCAGCATCTACACTTGAAAGAATAGACAACATTCGATTGCAGAGTCTTGGGAACACGTTTTTTCATTCCGCCATGTAATTTAATATTATGTAAATAGCTATTATATATTTTTTATATTCCTCTATACTTGTAATTTAATACTGTCTGATGATGTCTTGAGAGCCAAGACGAAACTTTACGCTGCTAAATAAAAATTTCTTTTTATACGTCATTACATGTTTGTAAATGTAGATCGTCCAGGTTGGTATAGTCCTGAGAAGGACTGTTTTTGTTGTTGTTGATTGACGTTTCGACAACCTTAGCGGTAGTCATCTTCAGAGTCAAAAGTATTGTATGGCTCTTTTAATAGCACTTTGCCGAATACCTCAGCAAAGTGCTTTTAGTATTCAGTACTCTTGTATTGATTGGCTCTTTTAAAAGCACTTTGCTGGGCTTTAAGGCTCTTACAGACGAGCAAATTTTCTATGACAAAACTCTATGTTACAAGTTTTATACGCCCGTCTGTACGCGTCACTTTGCCATATTTTTCTGTGACAAATGCATTTGTTCAAAAGCTAGCATGCCAGCTTTTGAACAAATGCATTTGTCATAGAAAAATGGGCCAAATGACGAACTTTGTTCGTCTGTACGGCCAACAAAGAAAATATAACAAATGACGTGCCAGTGATGAACCTAGTCAGCGGAATTTTTCGGCGTACTCAGTGTTGTGGCCACAAAGGTCTCTGTCTTAGCGGCCAACATGGCGGCAGCCAACAACGTGCGTTGGACTGATGCAGCCACAAGTCACCTCCTTGAGTTACTTAGAACAAGGGAGAGTTTGTGGAATTTAAAATCAGAATGCTACAAAGACAGAAATAAAAAGAAAAAAGACTATCAAGAGATCCTGAACATAATGAAAGAGGAAGTCCTTGGTATAGATCTTTCTTACATCAAAGGTGGGTACACTTAACGTTTACACAGTAATTGTATCAGCGATGTCACCATGAGCCTGTTGGACTGTGCTTCGTTGTGTAGTTCAAAACGGTTACTACGGCATTCTAACTTATTGTTAAAAGCAATGTGTATACGCAGACTAAATTTGTTTCATTTATCTGTACAAATTGCAGCAAAAATCCAAGGTCTTAGAACGACATATCGTGAAGAGGTTAGAAAAGTAAAAAAATCTGAATCAACTGGCAGTGGTGTGAAGGATATATATATTCCGAAGTGGAGGTTTTTTGAGGAGTGCTCTTTTCTTGAAGATATAATAATTTCAAACAGAGGAACTCTCTCCAATGTCGTGGCAACTGAACCTGCAAGAACAGCTGAAGAGGACCATGGTGAACTTGATGGTAGTGGGCAAGAGGATGCAACTCCTCCAACTGAAAATCCACAGTTACCAAAAAGGAAAAAATCAAACCAGTGGATGGAAACAGCTGCAACAGCTTTAAATGAGTTGGCCAAAGGGGCAAAGGTACCTGAAAAAGTGGATGATGAGTGGGACATTTTTGGCAGGGATGTAGCCAATTCTATTCGCGGAATAAGTAACAATGATTTACGTCGACGTTTAAAATATAACATCCAGTCGGCTATTTTCCAAACCACTGAGCAAGAGCACAACCCACAAGCCCCCCAGCATATGCCGTCAAGCTCCTATGTCTTCAACACATTTACAGAAAATGGCCCAACCTATCATTCCTTTTAGTTTAAGATAAACTTGATTATCTGGAAGATACTGGTGTTCTTAAGTTTAATATTGTTACGTTAGATAGTGTGCATAATGGTTCATTTTCACTGGTTTATTTGCTTAGGTTTTAGTGCTCTTATGTCTAGTAAAAGACTGTGCATACTATGCACCAAGGCAATTTTGCAAACTTCTTGATGAATTTACTTCAGAATTTTCCTTGGGAGTAAGGGAAAAACTTCATGTTCCAGTTTATTAAAAATTTTGTAAATAGTATTTACATGATATTTTTTGGGAGATATTTACCCACTTGAACAAAGTAAAAGTTATTAATAACTGTTTCTTTCCAACTGCAAGAACCATCCTTGGTGAGCTACTTGTTACCATCTCAAGGAACATATTTTTTGTTAAGATATGGGCAAGACCGCACATGATCGTGTAGGATCCCTCAAGGACTTGCCCAATATCAAGTCTGATATGTTTTTAACTCTAAATCATAAAAGGATGTCAATACTGTGAAAGCAGGGGTAGGGTGTTGATCTACTGTGAACACTTAGGATGTGTTGGTGCAAAGCTTGACATAACTGTTAAACGATGCTGAGTGATTTTTCATACAGATGGATACTCCATCTTACCCTGCTTTATTTTATTTGAACACTTTGTTGTCATCCAAACACTTCATACACCATCAAAAATGTAACTCAGTCATTGCCCATTGAAAATCAACTGCTCCTTCAGAAAAGAAGTAATCCTTTAGTAGATTCCGTACTTCTCTGGCTTGTAGAGTAGATGGTCTGGTGCTTTGGTCTCGTCTTAGGTGTCCAAGAGACGAAGAATCTTCTACAAGGTTGCGCCAAACACCTTGTCTAACATTGCCAATTTCATCCTCGGTGTCAATGAATCCAGGAGGGTTATAAACTCCGTCCTTTTTCATCATTAGAAAATTGTGCAGAACCAGGCATGCCTGAACAACTACCATTGCATTTGCAACGTTCATTTCCATAGGTCTTGACAAAATTCGGAAACGTGCACAGAGAATCCCAAAGGCGTTTTCAGCAATTCTTCTAGCCCTAGAGAGCCGATAGTTGAAAACTTTTTCGTCCCCCATGGCAGATCGATGTGGGAACGGCTTCATGATGTTTTGTTCTAGTGCGAAAGCCTCATCTCCTAATATGTAATATGGAATTGGCGGAAGTGAGCTTTGCTCTATGCAGCTTGGTGATGGAAAGTTTTCAGATTCACATATTTTTGATAAGTGTCCTTGTTTGAAAATACCCCCATCTGATTGACTGCCTGCGGCACCCAAGTCGAAAGCAACAAATTGAGCTTTTGCATTTGCAATTGCAAGCAGAACAAAGCTAAAGTATTTTTTATAATTGAAGAACTCTGACCCAGAATTAGGTGGAGCTTTAACTTGTATGTGTTTGCCATCAATAGCCCCCACAGCGTGGGGAAATTGCCACTTCGTCTCGAAATCACTCGCTAGCTCTAGCCATTGTGATCGTGTGGATGGCACCCTCATGTATTCGTCTTTGAGAACTTCATATAAAGCTTCACAGACCTTCGGAACAAATTCTGCAATCGCAGATACAGAGATACGAAAGGCATATCTAAGTTGTGTATAGGACTCTCCCGAAGCGAGAAACCGCAGCGTCACACACAACTTGTCGTGAGCAGGAATGGATTCACGCATTGTAGTGTTTTTCGCTGTAATGAGTGGCTTCAATTTTTCTAGTAATTCGTCAAACAGGCTGACATCCATTCTTCAAAACAAGGAACCAAGCAATTTTAGAATTTAAATTACGAAAAATAGTTTATGAACAATCTCTGTTTCAAACTTCGAAATTCACCGGAAAAAATTATTGAAGGCTCTATCATCGACTGTTCTGAGTTCTTGTATTAGATTAAATGCAAAACCTTGTCTTTGTCGACGTTCCTGGGTGGCCCATGGACGAACCCACCAACGGCGATTTAAGTGCCTCTTTGAGTATTCGTATTGCATAAGTAGTGTTATGCCAATGCCACAAGCAAGTATCCGTTTGTGTTTACTCAAATATGGCATCGTTGAACAGCCGACGATTGTTTACTTTGATTATCGCTGATTTTCCCGCGTATTCTCTTTGATATATGCTGTGCTATTATATCGCGGGCCACAACATTTGTCACACAAAATTTGTTGATGGGTACAGACGGTCAAAGAAAATATGCCACATGAAAAACTTGCCATAGAAAATTTGCTGCACGTACACATGGACATTTGTCACAAAAAAATGGTAACATAGAGTTTTGTCATAGAAAATTTGTTCGTCTGTAAGAGCCTTTAATATTTGTCCTTTTATATTATCCTTAAAGGATTTTAGGGGAATCCCTTAGAAATACCCATGATGCACCAGAGGTCTTGCACTGACAAGCGCTCTCTCTTTTACTGAATTATCCTTAAAAATAGGATTTTCTAAAGGTTTTCAAGATATTTTTAAGGATGTTTTTATACTTTAATTAATATACGCCCAATAATATTTAAAGTTTCTTTACAAATACAACATTGGAAGACTTGAAAACAGCAAAAACGGAGGAAGAAACAACAAAATCACTTTCTGAGCCCATGTGATCACGCCTTGTAGTAATTTTTACAAATTTAAGGAATTTAATGGAAATTTGAGGAAGTTTTAAGCATTTTCTAAGGAACTACGACATTTGATTGTGAAACTGTTGATTCCGTTGATTCACCAACAGATATTTCATGTCTGGCTCTCTTATTTTCTTCAAGCAATCTTTACTGTTTTGGACGAATCTTTTGTATATAGTTAAAAAAAACACCTTATGTTTCAGAATTTCAAGTATTCTATATTTTATGTGAGAAAAGGTTGGTGATGATCAATCAAAGTTTATCACGTCGAATATTGTAAGTTTTCCAATATTTTGCATGAGCAAAGACGTTGTTTCAGTTTATGATGCGCGAAATTCCATAAAACCAATTGTATATTGTTGATTTATATAATTTAATTTTATTATTTTAAGTAAAAAATAGGTTATAGTTCGTCAAAGCAACCTTAGAATTTTCATTTGTTCCTTGACTTCCTGTAGTTGTAGTATTGCTTTATTCCAATAATGTTATGCTTCCTATACTGTCCACCTTGGTGTCATTTTTTTTACATCATGTATTTTCTACTATTGAGAAATAACATTTTATCGTATTTAGCTTTGCTATTGTCAAAAGCAGCATTTTTGTCAAGGATGTTTAAAAAGTCCATGTAGGCCACAAATTGTTACCCTTATTAGCAGCAAGGCTTTGTCTTTTTAGATTGCCATGTAATCATTGGAATTGATTTTCATTCTTGATTATTAACCAAATTATAAATCTCTGTTATTGTACAATTAATATTTACACTGCTGCAAATACTTTTAGAATATACATTGAGTAGTTATGGCAGTTTCAGAAAGCACTTTTTGACTTACCATATTGTTTGCATTATGTCTATCATAAAACTGTTTGACACATGTTCTCGAAAATAATTGTTAAATAAATTAGAACATGTAAACCTTTAAAATCAGAACTTGGTTGGATTTTTGTGTTTTGTATTTATTTTTGTAATTTTGGCCAAAAACCTCTTACAATATTGTATCTTAGCTAAATGAGAAAATGTTTGTTTTGAAATTCTATTTTCTCTCACCTGAAATTTTTTGTTTTTGTGCAATCTAGTTAAGTTAGTGAGTTTTTGTTGAAGAATTTTAATAATAACTTCCTCATTTTGATAAATTTGATATATTTGGTGAACTTTCTTATTTTTGATTATACATTGATGAATGATCCTTATCATTAATATACCATTACCATTAATGCAGTGGTCATTTTTCTTCTCATTTAGTCTTTAACCATTTTTGCATAAAAATTTTTAAGAATTTGAATTGTGATGTTATGATTTTCCCTTCAGATTATTAAAAAATACTTCTATAAGAATGCAGGATGATCTTAACAATAACTTGGTGCATTGTGGTTTTAAGCTCTGAGACATTTTTAGTAAATAATTCAATTTTATTTGTATAACCTCATGAAAGTGTTTTATGGTTTTGATAGTGTTTGTGCTTTTGGACCTGTCGCATGAGGGACATTCTGAATAAAAGATCTTTGTGAGGGCTTCAAAGTGATTTTTGATTTTCTCTTTAGGTATTTGAAATGTCAAACCAACATTATGTTAATCTGGCCAATGATGTTGTTGGAATGATTAATGAACAAAATGAGGCATATGTCCCATCACGAGTCTCTTACAATTCATCTTCATCTCAGGCCTCTGCTCCTCCTGTTTCCAGCAATGCCAGTCGCCAACCAAATTTACCTCCTGCCAGTCAGGCTAATACCTCTTTAGAAATTATTGAAGGTCATGATGAAATATTTGATCCACCGCCAAACTCAGATTACGAATGCCCAATATGCATGATGGTACTTCGCAATCCAGTACAAACGATTTGCGGTCATCGGTTTTGTAACGGATGCATGAATCAGCACATACGGTAGGCTTTTACGTGCTCTTTTATGGCATTTACTGTCACTGATGTGTTTTTACAGAAACTTTTAATGCAATTTCATCAAAGGTTTCGACCTGAACGCAAGTAGAAGGATAACAGAAAGCAAACGATTTGTAATACTGTTTTACGCATGTTAATCCGGTTTTTTTGAAGTGGAAGATACTTTAAATATATTGTTACATCCGTGAGGACTAAACGTTCGACAGTGACCTTTTGGTAATAATTTATTATGTGGCATTGTAATGATTTTGCTAGAATTTACTCTCGTGCCTCCTATGCTTAACTTTGTTAGAAACTAGCTTCCCTTGTTTTATTTTGACTTCTCTAATCAATAAATTGTGAATGCATTATTCTTTAAGTTATTATAAATTGGTTACAGCTATATATATTAGATTCAAAATCGGACACCTGGATTTCATTCATTGATTCATCATAGTTTTGGATTTGTACCAGATAGGTAATCAGAATTAGCCTCTTGGCTTTTGTAGCTTAGTGTTTTATGAAAATGCTATTTTTCTGTTAAAAATTAAAGCCTTTTAATGTCATTGTGAATATGACGGCTGAGAAATTGAATAATGTGAGAGAACATTCCTGAGCAGTTGCAACTAAGACAAATTTTCTCACGCTCTGATGTTTAAAATTCAAGTAAATTCTTCCGTAATAAATTTTGTTTACAGTTAACGTTTTACTAGGATATACCCCATATAGACAGTTGTGGCAGCATGGTGAAGTCTACCCCCAATATTCCCAAACTATGGTCCTTATTTATATATCTTGTAAGTGTGTTTTCTATCCTAATTATTAGATTTTTTACAGATTAAACGGCCCGAAATGCCCTTCAGATAATCAACAGCTCAATACAAACGAGGTAATGAACATTAAATTTTCAAAGTAGAACATGAAGTCATGCCTTATATAAATACAAAAAAAAAACATTTCTGTGATGGTATTTCTTCTTTAAACAAGCAAAACCACGCATTTTTCAATAATTGCGAAAGGGGTATATGAGGCGTAAGATCAAGAGTCAGTCATAACCATTTATAACGCGACGGCGAGAAATTATAGCAGTAAGCAGGAAAACAAAATTGAGTGAAGTGCAAATTTTTTTTGTTTTGATAACTAAACTATTACTCAAGAATGTTATATGCAGTGCGGTGTTTGAAATTAAATGTAGATATGGTCTTCGCACTTTGCTGGACAATTTAAGCAATTGTCTCAAGAAGTGACAAGAACATGAAAAATTCAGGTGACTGAACGGGATTCGAACCCATGACCTCTGCGATTCGAATCCATGACCATCGCATAGGTCATGGGTTCGAATCCCGTTGAGTCACCTGAATTTTTCAGGTTCTTGAGACAATTGCTTAAATTGTCCAGCAAAGTGCGAAGACCATATCTACATTTAAACTATTCTACATTTAAACTATTACTCGTTGTTTTCTCATTATTGTTCTCAGCAAAATTTTCCGGTGACGCAAAATCAAACTTTGTAGTAAATTAAATTAAAATGCAATGTCGCCATTCAAGTAATTGTGATTGAAATATTTGGTCATATTTGGTACATCGATTGCTCATTTGTGCTTTGTGATCTAAAGTTTACGGCATTAATTTATTCTTGTACTGCGTAATATTATCATTGTGACAGTGAATCGAAGTACATGATACAATGCATCGAAATCCTTGCTTTGTGTGAAACGTTTTTTGCAATCGAAAAAAATTCGTCGGAATCATCTTCATAACTTAGCTAATTGATCATCAAACAACGCAGCCCAAACACTATAAAACGTACGCATGTGTGACACTGCCTTTATTCATTCATTCATAGCGAACGAAATCTGAAATCTATTCACGGATTGGGCAATGATTTATAATATACAAATAAATGCTTCGCTGGCGATCATATAATTTAATAATTAGTCCGATTTAGTACTTGTTAGCATTGTTTAGGTATTGCTCAGTTTACATAGTCTGTTGGCTAGATAAATGAGAGACGCTATGCAAATAAATTTATTTTGCTTTCGAGTCTTGTACGAATTACAATTATTATTTCTTTGGGATTTACATAACGTCAATTGACTATGAAAATTATGGAATATGTCACTTGTCAACAGTCGAACTATTAGCAGGAAATACATTCAAGTACTTACGATCAATTAAAAATGTGCGAATTGCGAAGCATTATTAATACCTTTCAACTATTAAAAAATGGCCTACAATAGGAGCGGTATTTTCGGAATTATAGCTATCCTATACATGTAAACCAAAAAGTCATAGACGTGTTGGATTATCGTTTAAGTGTAAGGCATACACGTCAGAAAACTGTTTTAAGGCCCATTCACACGATCCGATTTGAACAAGTATAAAATGAGCCTCTGACAGCCGGATCCGTCAATCAAAAAAATCGGTTAGAATTGGAACTTTCTTTTTTCATCCGAAAAGATCAAAGGCAGCCAACTAACCAAATAACATAGATTTGAAAAAGAATTGGAAACAGGAACAAAAGTAGGAAAAATATATGGATAAATGTTCTGAATACCACAAATGGCTGTTTACACGACTATAAACATGTAAACCAATATGAATATCAACAAAATTATCGGACCGTCTAAAAAATTAACCAAAAGTCGGAACCGAGACAGTCAGATCCAGCAAATAGGATCGTGTGAACGGGCTTTTAAGAAAGCCGTTGACGATTAAGCATTCATCCCAAAAATGGTAAAATAGCGGCGGACTAGTATCCCAAAGGTGCGAATTGACATGTCGTCCAAGTCACATGTTTTTCATGTGCATATTAAAACTGTGTTAGGATTAATATATTATAAATGATAATAAATTCATCATTAAAATTTTTAAGAAATCTTGTGGACTTCACTTTTCTAAATGTGAGTACTGTCACGTGACGTGCTATCTAGAGGAGGGTATTTGGTAAAAGGGTTTAGGTTATAAAGTTTCTTGGTCATTCGACTATTCAGTGAGCACATAGCATTTTTTTAAATCTTTTGAGTTATGTTTATAAATCTACATACTTGATGGGCTACTCTCATGTACGCATTACGTACCTACTTTTCTTGTTGTTGTCTGTCTATTTATGTCTATCGTTATTTCCACCATATCGATGTGAAGGTGTTAGTCGGGAAGGGGTGGTCAGCTTCGGATGTTAGGAACATGAATCTTAATCTCGACCCAAGGAACAGTTTTGGTGCCCAGGCCACCCCTGAGTCATACCAGCTAACACCTAACCATCTTAGAGTGAGCTAGGTGTTAATTAGCAAAAATGCTACTAAAATACTTCACTTTAGTCTAACGTCGCTTGCGTTACTTTCCTTCATATTTCTGATCGCAGTTGCCTTCAATGTGTTGCTGGTGACAGGTTATTTCGTTGTACTATTTTACTGGGCTTATTTTTGGGCTACATTGATGTTGTTATAAATATTAAAGCCCTGCAAAGTGCTTTTAAAAGAGCCATTCAATACAAAAATGACGTATAAAAAAGAAATATTTATTTAGTAGCGTAACGTTTCCTCTTCCTTTTCATACGTCATTTTTGTATTGAGTGGCTCTTTTAAAGGACTTTGCTGGGCTTTAATATTTATAACAAGAATTCGCTTCCCGCCCGGTATATCCCTGGTTACATTGATGTTAGAAAAAGTTTCAAAGTTCTCTTCATTAAAAAAGTAGCTTTTCCAGCTTTTCGCACGAGTTGTATTCAACTTGCACGTAATTTAACTTGCGTATATATAAATTTATTTGTTTGTACGTATATTATTTGTTGATGAATTTACTATCGATCGAATAAAATTTTTATCATGATTCCAAAATGGCTTTACTCAGAATATTATGTTGGACATCTATATTTCGGATGTTAATGAAGTTTCGCGCTGTTTTTTGTGTGTTCTTACTCTTTTTAGATGATAAGATTTACGCTATCACACATTAGTCTCACGCTCTTTTCTTCTGTGGTTTACTAATATATAAATTTTGTAGTATATTAAAGGGTATGGGCAATGAAAATAGCGATCTTCCAAAAATCATCTTGATTGACAAATTGTCACTTCATAAGCATTATTAAAAATTTTTATTATTGAGAGCGTTTTGGAGTACTTACCAGGAGGATTTTAACTATCCCGTCGACAGAGAAATTCGCAATCTTGTTTCTAAGATTCAAAAATTAACGCGAAAAGAAGTGACGTCACTTGCGGGTAGACGTGTTTTGATAAGTTCAATATAATAGTTATTTCTTAGTATTGAGGACTGAGAAGAAAAACCACAAAAAATAGGTGAAGTGACTGCTTTAAAGTCGGAATTTGACAAACCAAAACATGTAAAAATTTTTGAGCATCCCGCAAATAACGTCACTACGGAATAGTCAACATAAATTATCATATTGTTATCCGAAACAAGATGGCAAATTTCACAGTCTACGGGAAAGTTAAAATCCTCCTGGTAAGTATTCCAAAACGCTCTCAGTAATCAAAAATTTTTTTCTAATGCTTATGAAGTGACAATTTGTCAATCAAGATGATTTTTGGAAGATCGCTATTTTCATTGCCCATACCCTTTAATAGTCTTATTGTAACGATTTGGTCTTATTTCGACGTTACAACGACGTTTATTTTTTAAGTGTTTTTTCTACTTTCACCACTCAGATATACGCCGATAACTTTGCCAAAAGAGAAATCAATCAGCTAAATGTCAAATGTCGTACACTAAAAAATAACAAAGAATGTCCGTGGAATGGTCCCCTAAAAAATCTTGAGGTGAGTTAGAATGTGTCGTTATGTTTAAAATGTGTTCTCAGTGACAAGAGTTAAAATATCCTTCATAGCGACGCCTTAGCAACATGTTTTATCCGCATAATTCCTCGTATAATTCAGCATAACCTACGCTTTATCAAATTCTACGTTTGGTATATGCTTTTTAAAGTTCTCCCATCACATGCTTTGTCAGTTTGAATGACGGAAACACGTTTATTTTATCTACAATTCTTTTCGTTCAATAATCTTCGTTCAATAACCTTCATCCATTTCGTTGCGTGAGCCAAGGTGTATCGGAAAGTTATTTTTTTGCAGTTCTTAGTTGAAAAATTGTCCTCTGCTCATTCAAATATCTTTTATTGGTTTTATTCTTAATGTATCAATGTTTATAAATGGGAAATTCACGAAATAAATAAAAAAAATGCGAGGCATACACCATCAAAGAAACGAAAATTTTTCCAAGATGATGGTGACGTTTATAAAGATCCTGGGCCTTCTGCCAAAAAATTGGTAAAAATACGGCGAATTTTAATTGCTTCTAGCCCCTGAGTATACTGATCTAAAGGAGGGTACAATATTTATGGACATGTCCATTTTTTTCACTGTTTTTGACAATATTTTGAAATGTGGTGACGATTTGAATTCATATATTGACATGAAAAAAAAAGGATTCACATATTACAATTTGCTCCAAAGTAAAAGTTTGGAGTGTGAATGGAAGTGCTGTTTTAACAAAAAGTCAAAAAAGCAAGGACGTTCCCATGAAAGGAATGTTAGAGCAGTTCTTGCATTTAGAGAAATCCGCAGAGGACACAGTGCCATGAGTTTTTTTACCAAACTCATGAATATGCCTGCTCCACCAGCTCGTCGGATTGTAATCAAAATCCAAAATAGGTTTTTGCCAGTGGTAAATGACAGCATGAATTTGAGGGAGGAGAATGCTTACAATGATGGTGAATGTGGGATTTCAATTGATGGAACGTGGCAAAAGAGGGGTCATGCTTCTCACAATGGTGTTGTGACGGCAATCTCCTTAGACTCAAGGAACGTCTTGATGTTCAAGTGATGTCAGACTAGTGTACTCAATGTCTCAAATGCAAAAGAAGAAAGATGACTACATGTCTAGATTTGTAGAATGGAATGCTTCACACACCTGCAAGATCAATCATGTGGGAAGTGCAAACAGTATGTAGGCAACAGGTGCTTGCGTTTATTTCAAAGATCGCTATCTACTAGAGAACTAAAATATACGAACATGCTTGGAGATGGGGATTCCTCTTATTTCAACACCATTGTGGAAAACAAGCCATATGGTGAACAATGCATACCAAACGAACTGGAATGCATTCGACATGCCTAGAAAAGAGTTGACAGTCGGTTGCGGAAACTAAAAAACGGAAAAAAGGAATCAAATGGCTGATGGTAAGGGATTTGGTGGTAAAGGAAGACTAAAGGCTGCTTTCCACTGTTGCGTTTTTTTCCGTGCGTACATCCATAGATAAATACGCACGGATTTTTAATCTCCAGTGCTGCGTTTTGCGTTGCGCATAAATTTAATGCGTGCTGCAATTCAAAATGGCGTCGAAAGAGGAGCGAAAATTAGCAATTCTACTTTTGTTTCGCCAAAGACGAAAACGAAAGGTTTACAAAGGTTTTGGATTAAAGATATTTTAAAGCGGCAAAAAGAACTGGGGGAATACCATCGGCTCATTCAAGAAATGCGGTTAAATGATCATGAATCATTTTATCAATACTTTCGGATGACCCCTGCGCGGTTTGATTTACTTCTTGGTTGGGCCATACTTGAAAAAGAATTCTTTATACTGCGAGCCTGTGAGTCCTGAAGAACGCTTCGCTGTTACTCTTCGCTTTTTATCAACAGGCGACTCTCGACAAAGCATAGCCTTCAGTTTTTGACTTGGCCACGCTACTGTGACCAAAAGCGTAGAGGAGTCTTCCGGCGCTCTGTGGTCTGCGTTGTAACCGTTTATCAAGCCTCCCTCGACAACAGGCGAATCGAAAAAAATTGCAACAGATTTTTGGCAGCTTTGGAACTTTCCAATGTGTTGCGGAGCCATTGATGGCAAACATGTAGTCATGCAATTTCCCCTCCGGCTGGTTCGTCATTTTTTAAGGTAAATAAGAGTTCTTAGATAACGATATACATTGTAAATTTGCTGCTTACATGTTGGACAAGTCAACGGAAAATGCATGTTTGTGAATATTGTGATTAAGCGAGTATGATTTTTTGACAATTTTATATTTCCATGTAGGAACACATAGCATTGTTCTGTTGGCAGTTTGTGATGCTAGGTACTTGTTTACTACGGTGGAAATTGGCAGTTCAGGCAGAAATAGTGATGGAGGTGTGTTTGGTGAGTCTAAATTTGGAAGAGCCATTGAAGATGGCAGTTTAAAGTTACCATTTGCAGATACCCTTCCAAATAAACCAACAGAAGTTTGCCCATATCTGTTCACTGCTGATGATTCATTCCCCCTTAAACCATATGATGAAACCCTATCCGGGAAAATTCCTTGATAAAAAGCTCAAAATATTCAAATACCGTCTGTCACGAGCAAGGAGAGTTGTTGAGAATGCATTCGGAAACACTGCAGCTAAGTGGAGAGTGTTAAGAAGACCTATACTGGCTTCAGCTAAAAAGGTGGCAAGTGTAGCTAAAGTAGTCTGTGCCCTTCACAATTACCTGATGTTAGAAGGATTCGTTATTTCTAATTCATCAAAAAGGTATTGCCCAGCTGGATTTGTTGACGCAGAAGGCAGGTATAATTGCTATTTTCTCTTGTTAAGATAACTTAAATCTTGAGTTTATAATATGATGGGTTTTTTTTATCTTAGTATATTTTATCTTATAGTTACTATGATATATACAATTTTTGAATGCCGGTACCTAATTTTAAGTCAGTTGGTTATGGTCTTATCATCTTAAGCAGCTACTACTGTTCATTATAAGACATGTGCATGATAATACCAATATTTTTGAAAATCATCAAGAATGCATACAGTTCTGAAATTGCCACAGTGTTCAATAACCAAAAACGTTATAACTAAAGAAATTTTTATAGGTATGGAAAGAATTTGCCAGGAGGATGGCGATCGTTGACAGAAGCAGACACAAATTTCTGCAACAAATTTCACGATAAGGAAGCAATAACTATTCACGAAATGCCAAATCTGTGCAAAATTTACTAACGAATCATTTCTGCTCATCAGAAGTGGAAGAACCTTGGCAACATGCCTATACGCAAAATAATGGTAAACAAGAAAAATAAACCTGTTTCTGTAAAACAATTTTACATTTATAACATCATCTTATTAATAAGTTATGTTAATTTAATTATGAAATTTAAGTTCAACTGAACAAAAAATAATCTGTTTCTTACAAACAGCAACGACTTTTCAAAGTAACTGGAAAGTTAGTTCAATAACTTAAGTTTTTCGCTTCATTTTACTTTACATCCTTATCCTAGCTGTTTGTTGACATTGAAGAGATTGCTTCACTTAAAACAATTTTACTCATTGCCTTACTTTTTGCTTCTTTATCCAACAAATGTAGCTAAACAACAACACTTTTGCCACATGCATCTTCTACGTTACCACAGCTGATTGATTTTGCAAGGATTTCTCACCAAGGATTATCATAGAGATATATACTCTATGATTTTTACATCCAAGGCCCGATCAAGTTGCTTTTGTGACATTGCTGCATAAGACCTTTTCTTACACAGTTGTTTTGAAGCATCATTTTGAACGTTTTCAATAATCTCAAATGAAGGGAAAGATTCTTCTTGAGAAAATTCCTCAACACCAACTGTTAAATCATTAGTAGGAGGTTCAGATGTGATGGTAAGTTGATCTTGGCATGGACTTGAAAGAGCTTGCTGAACGACTGGTTGGAAATTGCTGACCGAATTCTATGTTCGAATATTAACATAAGGTTTTAAAAATGACAGTGCCATAAGGTACGGATAATGTGCAATTTCAACCACCCCTGCTCCACTTTTTTTCCCATTTCCACTTAACACACGGACATATGAATCGCGTAGGTTTTTCCAAATTCTGTCTTTGTAGTCGTTTACTGGGTCAAAAAATAATTTAGAATACACTTCGTTCGGTGCTGAAACTATAACAAAAACACAACACAACATATGCATTTATACCTGAATACATTGATTGACAGGCTGCATTCACAGCATCAGCCTCTTTTGTATTCCAAAGCGTTGGATATTTTTCAATTTCTTCAATAAGTTTCTTCTCAACTTTTGTATATATTTTCCATCTTTTTTCAACTTGTAAATCAAGTGGCAAAAGCGTACTTCACTGTAAAGCACGTATTCTGTAAATTCATTTTCATTGGATAATTGCTCGCGTTTTTCAATTTTGCTGCGTAAAAGTTAAGTTGTTCTCAACTTGTGCGTTGACGCGCTTGGAGGATACGTACGGTAACGTATGTGTACGCGCTTTGAAAAATGCAACAGTGGAAAGCAGCCTTAACTGATATCAAAATAGATATTTATTCACTATTAAAATGGCTAAGACAAGGATTATAATTAGTGGTGGGTCAATGGTAAGTCAGAATACATTGCAACGCTTCATTATAAGTTGAAAATAATATGGGAGTAATTCTGATGGTTGAAAATTTCCAAACAATATTTTGAAGACAAAACTTTACCCATATAATTGTTTGAAAATTAGTTTCAATTTTAACTATAATTTTGTTAGTGTTTCTGACTTACTGCTCGTTGACACGTTCTGATTTGTTTGATCCGATTTTGTCGAATCCATAAAAACAGATCGTGGGTGAACACATACATATAAAGTGAGCCTCCATAGTCAGATCCGTCAATCTGAAAAATCGGATGGAAATACAACTTGCTTTATTTTTATTCGACAAAGTCAAAGGAATCCGACTAAAAAACTTGGAAACAAGAACAAAAATACGATAACTGTGCAGATAAAAGTACTGGATAACACAAATGGCTTTTCACACAACTATAAATATCTAAACAACTATAAATATCAACAAAAAGATCGGACCGTCTGAACAAGCAACCAAAAGTCGGACCCGAAACAATTGGATCCGACAAATTGGATCATGTTAACCGGTCGTTACATACCCGGATGATGCTGAATGAAATAAAACTTATAAACCTGCGTACTAATTTCCCTTATTCTAAGCTTTTACGTCTTTTCATTATGCTAAAAACTTCGCTGTCCTCGATATTTTGCAATTTTTGGTACTGCATTTTGCAAGATAAAATTCGTAAAACCTTTCAACTTGCAAGCCTCGTTGCTTCTTTATATTTCATTTCCCTCAACAGCACACTCCTTATGTTATAGATTTTGAAATTACAGAGTGAATGAATTTTGTGTAGCGCAGTTAGCTAGTTTATGCTTAAAAAATAAAAGCTTACGCTGACTTGACCTAAGAACGTATGCTACCCAAGCCATTCTCCCTATAAAAATACATGTTAATGTTGTTAGTAAATTTAAATTCAAATAAGATGACAATGGTAACATAAACGTGCATTGTACTAACAAACTTAACATTTGATACGAAAGAATGTTTTGTTTTTTTTGTAGTGCGGTGTTTGATTTCATATCTACATTTAACATTTGATGTTGCGAGTTAGAAGGGCTGCTAGAGTTGCGTAAAAAGTTCAAACAAAAGAATTCTAACGCTGTAGTATAAATTACATCTGTAGGACCACCTGAAAACTTGTGAGTACGTTGAGATTCCTTGTCCCAAAGGATGCAATCAAAGCATTGAGAGGAGAGCTCTTGATCAACATTTGAGAAAAGATTGTCCAAAAAGAACTGTTACTTGCCAGTATTGTAAAACAGAGATTCTACAAAAAAATATGAAGGTATGCTTTCTATGTGTGTTATTTGGGCAAATTTTATTTAAGGAAATGCGTTTTTGTTGGTGGAGTTCTGTTTATAGACTACCATTATTCTGTTTTACAGAATAACTAATTGTCATTTTCTTGGGTAGTAAAATGAGACAATTTTCGTATGATAATCACGGCGAATACTGTATTATACCGGTGTAGATGCATTTTATGAAAAGTATGAGAACTAGTTTTCTCATTTTTACGATGGGTTAAAAACCTTAAATTTTAAACCCTGTTCAATTCCTTGTTCACAAATGTAACACTAAAACCATAAAAGAGTTTTTTCGTGTAAAGATTTCAGATACTCAACAAACTTCATATCAAATCTATAAATCACGTACTAAATTAGTCAAATTCCTATGGGCTGATTAAATGAGCCCGGTGGCCTCGAAGCCTTAAATCATTTTGGTAATTGGAAAAGATTAAATACTTCAAAACTTATTTAAGCAATTTCTCTATGCTCTGACTTTGCAAAATCACAAAACATTTAAATGAAAACAAATAATTTAGCCTGATTTGAAAATTACGACTAAAATGACATATGACGCTTGTCAGAAAAGGTTGTAAGTTTTGCCCTTAAAGTTTTTACTCCTTTCAATGACTCAAAATGATTACACGCCTCGCTGAATCCCGGTTACCGTGTTCATGTAATTATTCTTGTTATATAATTAAACACTATATACACGTTAATATTCTTAATTAGTTTCAAATAATACAAAATAAAGCAAATTCCGAAGAGGGACATCTCGTATTCTTGATATTCAAGATATTACAAGAGTTTGAAACAAAATAATGTGTAATATTTCGTCTTTATTCCAAAGACATCATCAGACTTATGGTTTACAATGCAGGCTGCGAAACTTTTATATATTTACAAGCGGAAATGGCAGTTATGTAATTAGAGAACTATAAGACTAAAATATACTAACATTAAAATAGAGATAAAAATCTATTTTAATGTTAGTATATTTTAGTCTTATAGTTCTCTAACATAACTGCCATTCAAAATATAAATAATCAAAAATATCCACATTGTTTCAAACTCTTAATAATAAATATCCTCTTTGATATTATTTGAAATTGTCTGCTTGTCCTGGTTATTAATTAGTTTCATGTAGTGATTTTTCATAACTACCTATTTTAGTGGTTTCTTTATCAATGAAGATAAGAATTAATGCATGCATTAATTTATAGAATGGTTATTAGCACAATTCCTGTTTTGAAACACTTGCGTACCATGCAGAAAATATTTGATATACTATTGATTGAACACTATGTGCATAGAAGTACATACGTCAACATAACACGTCCATGGAATTTATTATAAAAATTGTTAAATACTAAAACCTAATATTCGCCCTAAACCACTACATATTCTTGCAAGTAAATTTTTTTGGTTAAAGGAACTGATCAATAAACGTCTATCAACTATTTCTTTGAAGGTGAAGAAAATTCTCCATTTACGTTGAATAAAAAGCATTTTTAACCTAGTGGCTTTCGCTGTATCTCTCACGGCTCACTTTATTACCCACGTATGCATGCCAATATTTATACCCAAGCAAAGAAAAGGAACTGCTCAAATTGGAATTTCCTATACATGCAGAAGATTTAGCTTGTCAAAAACCTTTGCATTCTGTTTCTGTTTCCATAAGTAATCAGCTATGTTTAGCCATGTTAAATGAAATGTGCCGAGAATCGTTGCGAAGAATATTTGACATATATGATCGTAAGTTGGAGTTCATTCCAGTACCACTTAGTGAGGGAAGAATTATTCATTGGATGAGAAGAATGTGGATAAGTTGCGTAATTATTGGTGCAAAGCTGAGAATCAATGTCGTATGCTGTGGAATGATGTTAGAATTTTTGAAGAAGGGTACTCCCAGAGCAAAATAGCTAGTGAATTGCTTAGCGGTCAAAGAATTGTCACTGACACGTTAAAATTATGCTTCATAAAGAAATCCCAAGAGTAAATTGTTGGACAATGTCCACACTTCTTGGAGGAAATTGTCTCTTGATAACCTAAAAGCTTGGTAGATAACATGGCTTAAGTGAGCCCAACCAAATACTAAACGTTTCAAAAGTTGTAACATATTTTATATAATTGATCTTTTCCGTAGAGTGATTAACAGGGATAATTTGCGAGCACTCTTTCTACTAGATGTATAGATCATTATCATTATTCATTTCTTTAAAAATCTATTGCTTTCACAGTGAGGGAAAACAAATAAATGAGTAGCAGGACTAAATAGTCGGGCTGGCTTCGCCACTGCATACAGGGATTCAATCAGATGCTTTCACTGATTTTTGTTTTGTTCATCATATTGAGAATTCATTTGAGTAAGAAGTGCTATTAGCAAGAATTTATACCACAAAACATTATACATTGGATCAATTGACTTTTAGTGCCCGGCCCAAAGAAAACACAACATGCGACTGTAGACAATGTTCCTCAATAACAAAGAAAGCGATAGCAAAAGTTTTAATGTTTGATGGCAGCGAGATCTAGTTGTCCCGCGTTCTCGTCCTGCAACTTCTTTATGTTTAGGTATTTCTGTAAATAAAAAAGACTGTTCAGATCGCCATTTAAACCTTAGGAAATATCACTAAGAAATTCTAAAGAATACGCTAGAGAAATAGAAGAAAAATTGTAATGTTCTCAAAGCCAGAAATCTTTCAAATTAACAAGATGAAAACCTTTGGAGCCATCAAAATTAACTGCATTTCTTTAATATCGATAATTTTTATTTACAGCAGTTGATTAAGAATCAATCTTCCTTGTTATTACCATTTACAACGCTATTGAGTTCGACCAGACTTCTCTCGAAACCATTTTATTAGTCTTAAAGACATGCAACACAGAAAAGAATCGCATAAAGACGTCTGATAATTGTTGGAAACAAGTATTACATAGTATAAGTCACAAGTATATACATGCTTTACTGACACTTTTTATTTTCGCAGTTATTATTTGCCATAAGGCTTAACTTTCGTAAAATGTACTCATATTTTCAAACATCCGATTTTTGCAAATTTTCAGTAGTCAAAATTTTCTCGCTCTTATGTTAGTATATTCCGAGGTAAATTCATGAATCAAAAGTTAGTTTCACTCCAGTTTCGTGTTTTGCTATTTAAGGATCACCTTGGGAAATGCCAAAAAGTAACGGTCACTTGCCCAAATTGTAACAAAAAAATGCTTCGAGAAAAGGTATGTTGTGGTATATATATTAACAATTGACAACTTATTGTAGAACATGACATAATATATACTACACACGTCAGTGCGACGTGCATGGCAGAAAGCAACTTATTGAGAGAAAAGTATTGTTTGTTATTGATCATTCACTTCAAATGATTTAGAGACTTATGTATAGATAAGGATATCGTAAAGCGTTAAACTCGAATTATATGAATAGCAATCAATTGCAAAGTGTATAAGGGGATTTAGTCAATGACATTGTCACTTAAAACTGAACTAGGCAAAGCTTCTACAAAGTCTAAATTGTCTCACAAGATAACAATTTGCATAAGTTGCACCTTTGTTAGAATTGTGATTCTGCGCAATCATTTGATGAACGCCTGGCAAAATGGAAATATGTAAATTAAAGTTGCTACGTCATATGTCCGATATAAGTCTGATATAGAGGCCCTAAGATATATCTTAGGGCCTCTATTGATAACAAGTGCATTTAGCACCTGACAGAGCTACCCTTTCTAAATAAAAATTTCATTCATTCATTCATTGACGTGGCATAGGATGTTGGCGCCCAAACTGAGATAAATGTGGTTGTGTCTTACCTCGTAAATTTAATAATTAAATTAAAATTACTGGAACGCCTGCATGTAACTGTTAGTCTTGCTCACTTAGTTTGTGTTACAATGTGTTTATATTCTTTGTTAAATTATAGTTGAATTCTGGTCACGAGAAGGAATGTCCGAAAGCAAACATTTTTTGTGAATATCGAAATATTGGATGCAAGTGGTCGGTAAGTGTCGACTGAGGAAAGTAGTTGCCGGAAAAGAAATGTTTTGCTTAAAATAATTAGTCTATTTCTCAAAATTTCACAAAAATTGTGGTACTTAAAGATTAATCTCTGCTCCAGATTGCTGAGGTCAGAAGAAGGTGTTTAGATCATGTTTTTTATTGACAATGATTTTATTTTCAGGACAACAATGGAGCCTCGCTTTAGTACCATCCCATGCAAATGCATTTCATCACTAATAAATATATTTATGAAAAAGATGTTTAAAATATTTATGTAGGCAACATTACCATCGTAGACATCTTAAATTGCATTTTATTGCCCATAAGAGGATTAAGAATACTTTTTTTGTTTACTAAGCTTTTCATACTACATGTGAATGTAGTATGAAATGTAGTGTGAATGTAGTGTGAATGTAGTATGAAGCTTTTCATACTTTCATGTGAATGGATAGAGATGAAATTTAGGATATAATATGCAACATCCATATTTACTCTAGGAATAACGAGCAAGTTTTGCGTAGCTGTTAAAAATGTTGTTAAGAAGGTGGTTTTCCATTAAGCCATATTTTTACCTTAACCTCATTGTTCCACAATGACCTGTCTTTCGAGTCGCCATTTTTCACTTTCATACATAGTTGTCATGCTATACATGGTACTTTTTCTGCTTTAATGATAGCACTGACTCCATCACTTGCAAACATATTATTAGCCCTTGCATCTATAGTAAGAAAAGAGGAAAAAAATATTTTCTCCTAAACACAAGGTTTAATATAAAGTATTTTGATTCCCATTAAAAAATTGACCAAACTATCTGACCATATGTAAACGTGTCTTGACTGTCTCTACAGGGTCAAAGACATCAAGTGCAACACCATCTAAACAGTGACATGAAGGAGCATTTATCTCTGATGAATGTTGCCTTGGCTAGTTTATTGTCTGCAAATGGCCGCGAAAGGAATCGACCAGCCTCCAGAGCAGAAGCTAGTACGAGTGCTGGCGCGAGCAGCAGCAATGCTGCAGATACGATTGACAGAAACTTGGAGGAGTTCAACCGCCTTGTCAAAAGAAATAACGATCAAATTAACGCGTTGATGTTGAGAACTGAACAAATTGAACGATCTTTTCGAGATCTTACCGGTAATTTATTAGTGGGTGCAGCTTTGGAAAAATAAATTAGATTAGCTTAATTGATTGGAAATGCAAGTGTAATGTAATTTATCTTACCTTGCGTTTTACTTACCTTTAAAGCTCGACACGCTATTGTGGTTAATCACCGAAATTGGGAATGATCCCTGCATTTAAGTTAACTGTACGTGTAGAACAAGATGAAAGTGACTTACATAAAGTCTCGTCTTATAGCTATAATAATCGTTCTACGTCACCATCAAATAAGCGCTGCATCTTATGAAGCTTTTTTTTGCCGCAGTCTACCAAGCCACCATTTCTCTGCGTAAAATAGGTAACTTTGTAGAAAGATTTAGGTTTGTTGCTTCAAGGGTAACCCATTCTAATAAAGTTAATTCTTTCTACGAGGGGTATAAACAAATGAACAGTTTGGAAAATGTCGGGAAAATCATCAGCTCACAAGATTTGTGAAAACTTTTGGTGGAAAGAGGTAGATGGACTACGAATGGTGTCTGTGATTGTGGACTTGTTACAAATACTTATTTTTAGTATAAGAATTTTGTTGTTTAGAAGCACTTTCGATACAGCTTTCGCACAAAATCTATTGAAATAAGCAATTGAACCACACAAGGTTGAAATATGGCACATATTGTTCAAGGTGAAAAGGTGTCAGGAAACCAAACCGTACGCGAACGCTAGGCATCCAAATTGCATATTATTTTGTGTTTTTCTTTTAAGAAATAAAAGATGTTTACTGTGTTTGCACAGGCTTATGCAAACTGAGGAGACTTTTAGGAGAACTTGAGAGCAGATCAGTGTAGCCCGAGACCGAAGGTCGAGAGTTTTCACAAACGAGGTTTGCATAAGCCAGTGCAAACACAAAAAACATCTTTTATTTCTTTTATAAAATAACAATAATGCGAAAAAAGACAAATATTTAATTTTTCCTCTATAATTTATTCATAACCGATTTTCAAATTCTCTTTATAAGAGCCAATCAAAATAAAACATTTCAAAGGGGAAAAGTTACATTATTGTATGCAAACAATTACGATGGCTGGCGTAAGTTTTAAGTAGATTTTCTTTGGCGAACGAGTCAACAATTCATCGTTTGCAAGACGTTTCTAAACAAAAATACGAACACTGCTAAAAGCAGTGGCGTAGGCAGCCGCAAATTTGGTCCTGCCTTTTTAATTTTTCTGTGTTCACTCACTATAAAAACAATAGCTTTCTAAAGAAATGAAAAATGTTAATGATCTAAAATTTACAGAGCAGGATGAATATCCTAACAACTTACTTACACCAAAGGTTTTTGCAAATCTTACGTGCTGATGAGTTTTGCGACATTTTCCTGACTATTTAGTGGTTCCCAGAGGTGCAACAAAAGAGGGATCGTGGAAAATTCATGTTTTGAATGCTAATTCTAAAAAAAAACGTGATTGAATGTTTTTTCAATTTTCCGTCCATCCTACATATTGTTTCTGTGTATAAAAATATGCTTGATATCCAAGCTACATTAATCGTTGATTTAAAAAACATATAAGAGTATATTTGTTTGATAGGCTTTTCTGTTCTTATTTTTCAAAATAAGCAACAATATCTTTCAGTTGCGTATCTTTTCACAATAGCGATGTCCTGCATGAGAATTAGTCACCATTCTTCATTATATTTATTCGATTTTTGTCTTATTAATATAACATTTTTACTTCAAGCACGTGTTGACAGACAGCATAGAGAAAATGAAGCAGGTTTGACTAGTGTTAAGAACACGATAGTTGATTTGGAAGCACGGATGTGTAATGGCGTCTATCTTTGGAGGATCACGAACTACCCTCGCCATCGAGAAAACGCAAGAGAAAACGTTGTGACAGCTTTACACAGTCCTCCTTTTTACACCAGCTTCTATGGATACAAATTGTGCTTGAGGTATATTTAAAATGCTCTTGGCCTCTACTAATTTTCCCAGACACTTGAGTTTACTTTACACGAAGGATTTTCTTTAATAGGTGGAATTTCTTCAATACTCATGTCTGTACAACAACAGTAGAAACGAGCTACGTAACATCCGTTTTGTTTTGACTGTAGTCGTTGCTATCCTTTTTCAAATACTGATATAAGTGCGTATAGCGTTAGCCTTTATTCCAGCCAGTTGACTAGAATTTGTTGCGTTTTCTAACCACTAAAATTACATGACGTTATTTCTGAGTAATGGAATTTGAGTTAATTTAGTCTCACGAATAGACGTCGTTGTATTTTAGTAGTTAGAAAATTTGACAAACCCTATAATGAACTGACTGAAATAATGACTCACTGATATGTGTACTAAATTTGATACAAATATCGTTACCGAAATTGAAGCCCTGTATTTGCTCCTTTCCATACGGCTTACGTCAGAGGTATATTGATCGCACTTTATTGTACTTTTGTTTAACAAAATCACATTTTTACATATTTTATTCTTTTGCCTGAGTCATTACACAAAAGAATGGTAAAGTGGACTAATACACGCAATTATATGACCTGACTTATCGCTTCAATTTTAAAGCCACTTTTTAAACCTGGTGCCTTAGTCACTCTAATATCACTGGGCTTATTATATATGATTAGGTCGCTCGGATGGGCGGGATTCAAACGATTTTGAGGAGTAGAACGCAGATCGATCCAAAAACGTTGCGTTACTGTAAATACCTGTTTTAGTGCCGAGGTGCTTATAAGATTTTCTCCGTCCTAATTGGAGCGGCGCTTCACCGCGAGATGCGCTTCAAAAGTAATTTTACCTTAATATTCATCCTAAATATTTTTATTGCAAAAAAAACGATATGATAAAAACCGTTTTCATGATGTTTAGTGTCAACGAATATTGTGTCACTTAGATGGTTGTACTGATTCATCAAGACTGGACAAGTCGGATAAGTGCAACGCTTAATATTTATTAACCGGTCTCTTGATCATGCTACTGTTTTGATTTAGACCATCAATCAAACTTTATGCTCTATAGTTGTTGACAACATACTAAAACATGTTATTGACGTTTAAGAATCAACCCAAATGGAGTAGATACTGGCTATGGTTCTCACGTGTCTTTATTTGTACACATGATGCAAACTGAGTGGGATGATACGCTTGAATGGCCTTTCTCAGGACGAATTTCTTTATCCATTCTCGATCAAAGCGATGGCGGTGATTATAAACGTCACATAAGTGAGACATTAGTCACAAGACCAAACCTACTGGCATTTCAGCGACCGACAACGCCTCGCAATCACAAGGGTTATGGTTATGTTGAGTTTGCTCACGCCGAAACGCTACAAGACCGACAGTACCTAAAGAATGACTGTCTTTTGATTCGGGTCCAAGTATTTCAATAATCAGTAGGTTGGATTACAGATAGAATGTGGTGTGTATGTGAGTATTATTATGGAACTCTAAATGTAGTTTAAAATCATTAAGTCTGGTCTTTATTTGCGACATAATCGCCAGTGAGGATCAGGCAGATGGAAGCGGAGAATGAAAGCAGATCGTGACATAAATCTTGCGTGGAACTTTGCATTTATATTTTGCACTCATGTATTAGTTTTAGTAAATTCAGTCTCGTTAATATTTAATTCAATAATATTCAATAATGATGCTATTTAAAATTCAATAATAACCATTTTTAAAGTGAGAATATTCAAAAAATTAACTGCGATTTGGAAGCTGCATTTGCCAAATTTCCTGAAATTTCATAAGCTTGAAACGCGTGCCACAATCATTTCTATTGCATCATTTTTTTGACAAGCTTTTTTAAAAATTCCTCTCTGTAGCATAGTTCTCACTCTAAAAAACGGTTATTATTCACGACAAATTAACCATTAAAAGAACGAGGGGGAATCCAATTGCCTATTTTCAACAAACCATTATGCGAATCTTGCGCGCTAATAAATTTAGCAGCGTTTTTGCAACTGTAAGCTTTTTCCATACAACTTGTATCGCTCCACATAGTTGATTATTGAAAAAGATCACTTCGACTAATAGATGTGGTTGAAAAGTCAGCGTTAATCTTTGTAATCAAGTCCAGTGCTTACCCAAAAATTTGCAAAACAAATATATATTACGAAACACACTCACAAGACCGAAAAAGTGGATGAAGCCTATTTCACAATTTTATCAAAAAGAATCGCGATAGATTTATAATTGAGTGGGCTAGGGGGCTCATATTCTTATGTTCATCATGCAAAATCCGTAATCACCATTGATTTCAATGGAAAGTATAGTAAAGTGGAACATTCATACATATATGAATATTCACCCCACCAATTATCGATCTTCTGCGTTCAGTGATTAAACATCAGGCAAATTAAATAAAACTGACATACGTCATGACTTAAGGTCAAATGGACGAACAGGAACATTGTCGTGAAAATTGCTGTTGAAAAAATTATAATGTAGCTTCGTCAACCTTCATGTTTAATCAATCCAACTTGCTGTTATATCAGTCTAAAAATGATGTTGCAACCTACTCGAATTCCAGTATTCTATACAATCTCATTTTCTTGTGTCTTGATGTAGTCCATATCATATGGATTTTACAAGATATTGACTTTCGTATTGTGTTTCGTTTAGTATCATCAAATTGTTCTGTATCATAAAACTTTTTGTATGTCTTCAGTTCATTAGAGATCACTTTGTTTCCCTAAAAAAAGCACTTCCGTTTTGGGAAAGCCAATATGCAGTTCTGCTTTCTCCTTCTTTACATTGATACTTTTTAACTATATAATAGTGCTATAAAACCAGTGTTTACGTGGTCTGAAAAATATTGAAAGCATGAAAACAAGACAAAAATAACAAAAACTTTGTTAAATGTTAAATGTTTGGTGAAATTTTCTCGTAGAATGACCAATAATTTTTAGTGTAATTTTTTGTTTTGCATTTGTACTCTAAATGGATGTAAATTATTATAAATTGTAATAAACATGGGCCGTTAACTATGTCATGTAGTAAAATGCGACCGAGGAAGTTATACCAATAAGTAGCCTAGCCGGTTGACTTTACACTATACCGGCGATTCATTCATCACGACATCTTCATTTGCTTTAAAGAGTTAACTGTTCGTAGTAAAAGCTTATTAAGCTGATAGATTTCGTCTATTTGATTGTGTTTCTGACGTTGAACAATTTCATCGTTTTTTAATACAAAGAATATTCAACCAGCTACGATAGCAATCCGGTATAGTGTGAACGGGGCCTTACTTTAGTTCCGCTCAGCAATTTTTCTCTGTTCAATCACGAAAGGAATAATAATGATCTGTTCTAACATTTTTTAGAACAGATCATCATTATATGGGCAGACTGCGCCAATGAATACTTTTTGATAGAACACAAAAGATTAATTGAAACCCATGTAGTATCCTGTTTCGTCTGTGTAAACCGCTTTGAGCTCAACAAAATCAATCAATCAATAAAAGAGAATTTGCAAAATGAATACAAATTTATAGTTAAATAGTATTTAAGCAAAGAAATAAAAGATGTTTTTCGTGTTTTCAATGGTTTATGCAAACCTCGGAGACGTTTGTGAGAACTCTGGAGCAGATGCAACACTCGACCTTCGGTCCCGGGCCTGCAATGATCTTCTTTCGGGTTCTCCTAAAGGAAACATCTCTTTTTCTTAAATAATTAATTATTTTTCAATTGTAGTCCGTAATGAAAAAGAATCAGAGTCCAGATTAATTTTTTGGAAGAACTCAATTCAATTATTCAAATACTATGATCATAGTATTTTGAATTTTGTTCATTTGCTCTGTTGCAAATTATGTTAAAGTTGTGTTGGGTTTCAATTGTACATTCGGGTACGTTGGGGACGATAAGGAACAATATAGAAAACATATGTGGAACGGAAGTAGAGAGAGCAGAGAACGGAAGTGAGACAAGTGATGGAGGCGAGACAAGTGATGGAGGCGAGACAAAGATGAGACAAGCGAGAGAAGCGAGATACTTTGAGGAGTAATAATAAATTTGTTTAAGAAACCAAAGTTTGTGATTGTGATTATTCTTCGTGTTCCGAATACATTGGGACGGAGGTCAATTTTCGGAATACGTGGCACCTACCGACGAAGGATTGTTATTGTGATAAATTGTGAAAATATCGTACGAGATATTACGCGTCCCATACAAACATGGCCAACGACGAAGCAAAACTCAACAAAAAATTAACTCAACTAAAGTTATCTGCTCAAAGAACAGCTAAAATATTAGATTCGGGAAAGCAAGAAACTATCGATCGACAACTGAACGCACTCAAAACAACTATAAACGAAGCTGACAATTTTAAAAGAGCTGTAGAAGCAGCGAAAATCGAAAGAGAAGACGACCTTGAAGAAATCAGCGATTGGAATGCGGAAATCGAAACAAAAATAAGCGAAGCCGAAGACGAAATAAACAAGCTACAACACTTGCTGAACAATAGGAAATTAGAAGAGGAAAATCACGCTCGCGAGGAGCAACTTAAATTTGAAGTAAAGCTTCAAGAAACAAAGGCTCAAGTAAATGCAAAAATCCAAAATTCAAAGTCCGGGGACTCAAAAATAAGTGATGAAGGTATGTCGGTGAGATTGCCAAAAATAAATATTACGAAATTTGAGGGGGAATACATGGATTGGCCCAGATTTTGGGGACAATTTACGGAGACGGTGGACAAGTCAAATATAGCTGCCATCAACAAATTCACATATCTGTGTGGTTTCCTTGGGCCCAAAGTTAAGCGACGAGTAGAATCATTACCCTTTACCACCGAAGGATACAATAGAGCAAAGTCAATTTTAAAAGATCAGTATGGGAAGAATTCGGAAATTATAAAAGCTTACATAAAAGAGATCATGGACTTGCCTCATATCTCCGGAGCAAACCCGAGAAAGATTGCCGAATTTAGTGAGAAGTTAAATCACAGTTTCCAAGCTTTGGAAACTCTGGGTAAACTGAAGGATGTCCAAGGAAATGTTTCCATGACTCTAGACAAACTCCCAGCCATACGTGGGGACCTTGTTAGAAATGATCCAGAATGGGAAAGTTGGGACTTTTCCAAGCTCACTGAAGCAGTCAGACAGTGGACCAGGCGAAATCCAGTCTGTGAGAAAGAGTCAGACACACCTGGATGGAAATCTAGAAGGTCAGAGAAAGTCTTTCATACTAAAGAAAAGGGGATGTGCGTCTACTGTGAAGGAAATCATAAATCGGGGGAATGTAAAGTAATCAGTACTGTCAAGGAGAGAAGAGCAATTTTAGTCAAAAAGAAACTTTGTTTCAACTGCACAGCAGGACAGCATCATGCTAACGCTTGCCCCAGCAAGTCATCATGCAGAAATTGCCACAAACGACACCATACGAGCATATGTGATGTCACCAATCGAGAAGAACCACCGAAAACAGGTCAGACTGTGTTGACTACAGCTGGATGTACTGGTGAAGGAATTTTCCCCATTCTTGTTGTCAAGATAAATGGAATTACATGTCGTGCATTGATCGACTCAGGGGCTGGAAGCTCATACATATCTGGTAAACTTGCATCTATGCTGAGGGTGAAACCAATTGAGACGCAAACCACTAAAGTTGACATGCTTCTAACATCAAAAACAACAAGACTGGAAATCTATGAAGGGGAAGTTGAAGCAATAGACAGTGATTATTCAATGAAGGTGAAGTTGATCAAGGTGGAGAAAGAAGAGCTACTCACAGTGGACAATCCACACTATGAAAACTTACAAAGAGAGTTTGAACACCTGAAGAATGCAAAATTTGTTGATAATGATCAGAAAGCTCAATTACCTGTCCATATCGTTTTGGGAAGCGGGGAATATGCACGGATAAAAACTCGCACGAATCCACTAGTGGGAACTGAGGGGCAACCAATTGCAGAAAAAACAAAACTCGGATGGTTTGCCATGAGCCCTGGTGTGGAACCAAACAGTAAAAGGATGTTGCTTACCCAAGTTTCGCAGAAGGATTATGAAGATCTCTGCAGGTTGGATGTGCTGGGCCTAGCGGACACTGCTGAACACGACCAATCAATGGTGTATAACGAATTCAAAGAGCAATTAACGCGATCACCGGAGGGCTGGTACGAGACCGGTCTTCCATGGCGCGGAAATCATCCACCTCTCCCATCGAACAAAACAGGAAGCATCAGAAGGTAGGAATCTTTAGAGCAACGATTACAGCGAAAGAAATTGACTGAAGATTTCAACGCAGTAATCCAAGACCAAAAGCACCATGGCATAGTTGAACCAGCAACTAACGTAGCAAAAGGTAATGAATTCTACATACCTCACAAAGAAGTCGTACGCGAGTCAGCGCAGTCCACTAAACTGAGAGTGGTGTACGATGCATCAGCAAAAGCTTCACCAGAAAGTCCTTCTTTAAACGAATGCCTGTATGCGGGACCTTCGCTAAATAACAAGCTGTGGGAAGTGCTGGTAAGAGCGCGAAGTTTCCCTGCTGCAATCACTGGGGATATTCAAAAGGCATTTCTCCAAATTCGTGTACGCGAAAGTGAACGGGATTCTTTACGATTTCACTGGCGACCAGATCCACAGGCTGATGTAGAAGTACTACGGTTCACGAGAGTATTGTTTGGATTGGTTTCTTCTCCATTCCTACTTGGGGGAGTTCTCGAAACACATTTGGATCACTGGAAAAGCAAAGCTCCAAACGCAGTTGAGGCTCTGAGAAGGTGTCTGTACGTTGATGACATCATTTCAGGAGGATGCACTGTGGATGAAGCACGGAAAAGGAAATTGGAAGCTATTGACATTGTGGATGATGCAACCTTTATCCTTCATAAGTGGGCATCAAATGCAAAGGAGTTGGATGAAGGAAGTGTTAACAAAAATGAAGAGCAAACAGCGGCCAAACAACAATTTGGGGTGCAGCCAACTGAGACGAAGATCCTGGGTACAACGTGGAATAAAGAGAAAGATACGTTAAGTGTACAAATAGGGCATTGTGGGAAATTGCCAACGAAGCGCAACATTTTAAGTCGACTGGCGAAGATTTATGATCCAATGGGAATTGCATCCCCTCTGCTTTTGCAAGGCAAACAAATCTACCGAGAGGTGTGTGACCTGAAATTACCTTGGGATGCGGAATTAATTGGTAAACTGAAGCAGAGCTGGGAGAAGTGGGAAAACACCTTACCAAGCGAAGTGACCGTGCCAAGAGCGGTTCTGTCGTTCCAAGAACCCGTCTGTAGTTTAGAGATTCAGGGATTTGGGGATGCCAGCGGTGAAGGTTTGTGCGCAGTCGTCTACACGGTCGCTAAACAACCATCTGGAGTTACTCAGGAATTACTGGCAGCGAAATCAAGACTTGCCAAAAGAGGACTGACTATCCCGAGGTTAGAGCTTGTTGCAAGTCATATGGCCGCAAATTTGGTCTCGAATGCTAGCAATGCGCTGAGACACATTCCACACAGAAAACACTGCTGGTCAGATAGTACTGTAGCTTTATGGTGGATTAAAGGAGAGGGTGATTATAAACAATTCGTGTCGCATCGAGTGGCAAAAATCCGAGCTTCTAATGAGATGGTGTGGCATCATGTGCCAACAACCGACAATCCGGCCGACCTCGGAAGCAGAGGTGGCAAACTGACCGAGATGTGGATGAAAGGTCCTGCCTGGTTATCAGAGCGTAGTCTTTGGCCACCAGATCTTATAGTCAAACCGTCGACTGACTCCCAAAGTGAAGCAAAGGCGACGAGAATAATTTTGTGCACGGCTATCCAGCGGTCAGACTTGGCAATATTCAGTGATATTCTTGAAAAACATCCATTGCGAAAGGCGATTCGTATTGGGGCCTGGGTGAAACGATTTATTGATAATGCTCGACAAAACAGAGATAATAGAAAGCACGGGCCACTGACATCTGAAGAAGTGGAAGAGCAACACATGTCATGGATAAAAATGGTACAAGCCGGAGTCGCAGAAAACCCAAAGTCTCAAATGGATCTGATTCAGTTAAATGTACAACCCGACGATGACGAGATTTTAAGATGTCACGGTCGGATACAAGGAAAGTTCCCTATTTACTTGCCTGATGACACTCTATTCAACGTGAAGTTAGTGGAAGATGCACACTTGGAAACACTCCATGGGGGAGTTATACTTACGATGGCAAAGGTCCGAGAAAGGTATTGGGTTCCTCGGCTTCGTCGATTAGTCAAAAGGCAAAGGAAGAGATGCTACAGATGCAAGAGATTCACGACCAAACCGTATCAAGCTCCAATACCTGCTCCTCTACCAAAGACTCGAACAGAAGGAACCACACCGTATAAAGTCATTGGTGTCGATTTCGCCGGTCCGATTAAGTATAAAGTCAAGAAAAATCAAGGAAAAGCCTATCTAGTGCTCGTTTCCTGTAGTTTGACGCGAGGAGTATATCTTGAATTGTTGAAGAGTCTTGAGACAACTTCTTTCCTGCAAAGTCTAAAACGGCTCATAGCAAGGCGAGGTCGTCCTTCGCTGATCTATTCGGACACTGCAAAAACGTTCTAAGCTGCAGCAGCATGGTTAAAGAGAGCAATGCAAGACGAGAGGTTTCACAGCGAGCTCAGTAAACATAGCATTAAATGGAGATTCAATCTGTCCCGCGCACCCTGGTGGGGAGGCCAGTTTGAGCGATTGATCGGTGTATTCAAATCATCATTTTACAAAATCGTTGGTAAAGGACTTCTGAAATTCGATGAACTGGCAGAAGTTGTTCTGGACGTAGAAATTTGTATGAACAATCGACCATTGAGCTATGTGGAGGATGGTGTTGAACTCCCCGTACTCCGCCATCTTCGTTCGTACTGCAACAGACAAATGTCATCCCTGAGGTGGAGAGTCATCACATTAAGAACGGTGAACTACGGAAGCGAGCAAAGTATTTGTACAAAATCAAAACCCAATTGTGGAACAGATGGCAGCGAGAATATTTAACAAGTCTACGCCAACGCAATCAAGTTAGCAAATCGGCAACCGAATCTCATCCGAAAGAGGGAGATATCGTTTTAATTAAGGGTGATGAGAAAAACAGAAATATGTGGAAGATCGGAAAGGTAACGATGTTGATCCGTGGAAGGGATGGAATTGTGAGAGGAGTCAAACTTCAGTGTGGAAAAATATCTCTTGAGAGACCAATCCAACTGATCTATCCTTTAGAACTACAATGAGACGTCAGCAACCATCAAAAGAAGTTGCGAGTGAACGCCGAAGAATTCAGAGCAAGACGACAAGCTGCTGTGGATGAAGAGGCGATAAATCAGGAGCTAATGGAACAGGAATGAAATAAACTTCGAGACAAAGTGATATAACATGTGACTCATTCGTAGTCACATGTGGGGGAGGGTGTTGCAAATTATGTTAAAGTTGTGTTGGGTTTCAATTGTACATTCGGGTACGTTGGGACGATAAGGAACAATATAGAAAACATGAGTGGAACGGAAGTAGAGAGAGCAGAGAACGGAAGTGAGACAAGCGAGAGAAGCGAGATACTTTGAGGAGTAATAATAAATTTGTTTAAGAAACCAAAATTTGTGATTGTGATTATTCTTCGTGTTCCGAATACATTGGGACGGAGGTCAATTTTCGGAAAAGCTCTCCTAGTTCAAAATATTTTCTTTTTAAGTTCGCAGTAAATTTATCAGAATATTATTTCGTTTTAACTTAAATAAGATACTCAGAATTAATCCTACCAAAATAACTGAAAAAAACTAGATACCTATATAGCTACTCATGATATATTTCCTGTTGACTTAAGTTGTAGGAGTAAGCAAACTTTTTCTCACTCCTTTTGGGGCATTTTAAGTAAGATTTACTCATCTATTTAAGAAAGACAGTTGCACCAAACTGTTTGCAAACAGTCAAACATGCAAGAAGTGTGCATGAAATTGTATATTAAAATATGTATAAGCTTGACGACATTGACAGTACTACTAAAGAATGTCGTTTGCCGTTTGATGTTTATTTCTAATAGAGCTAAAACATTATGTAAAAAACAAAATGTACGTTACTTTACCGTAAATTTACAAGCAGTAATTGAAATCAGAAGTATGATATACAAATTTGATTTTTCCATAGTACACAAGGCAGAAGTTTCAAAAAAATGTGGAAAAACATGGCAATACGCATTGACGATCTGAATATAACCAGATAATATTTAACAGCTCATAGAAATAAATAAATAACACTAAAAACACACAAATAAGAAACAAATAGTTCCTTGTACGTGGAATACTTTTTGCCGTCTAATAAGCACGCGGCACACGCTGTCAGGGGGGAATGTAAATGCCATTGTACTCAAGCTGGCTTCAACCAATCGCGGGAATAAAGCATAGGTAAAATAAAAATAGATTGGTGAAGTATATACAATTTATACGTACCATTCGTGACAAACAGAGCCCTGTGTTTGTACGAGTTGCGACAACGGGTCTGGGGCGAGCGCTGAGCCGCCATTTTCGTTTCTACTTGCAAGTTAAACTTATAATGAAACTGTGTGAAATTGACTACATGAGTAAAAGAATGAAGCAATTCGGCCTTGTTTAATGGAAATTTTAAATATTATGTAATCCACAATCAAGCTTTTGGCGTTTTTAAGAATAATTACTGCAAACCAAATTCAACTTTATGGATTTGAGATACATTCGCGGTTGACTAGTTCGTTCTTTGAAACTAATCGTGACCCACTGCTAGATTGCTTAACAACCAAGTTTGCATTGTGTGTTGCAGACATATAGGATATTTTGATTGTTACATCTTCCAAATCATACAAAGTAGAGCAATATATCATTGAACATTTGATATATCATCGAAAATTGACGATAACAAGGTTGTCGTTTCACGCAAGTTTTTTCTAAACTTTAACCGGGACGTGCGTGAAATTATATGCTTGACTTTGCAGGAGTAAATTTTTGATCTTTTTTTCAAATATATTGTAATCCACAATCAAGCTTTTGGCGTTTTTTAATTTATGAATTTTAGCTACATTCGCGGTTGACTAGTTCGTTTTTTGAAACTAATCGTGACCCACTGCTAGGGGTTTTTACGTATGTGAACTTACATTCCGGCAGTTTTCAACAACAACACCAAGATATTTGTTTTCATTTCTTATAATTTACCAGCGATAAAGAAAATACTCGACATTTGCATATTCTTGGTCGGGAAAACACGTTACTACACATACATCCAGATCTGAATCAATGCTTTGGCAGTTATAAGGTAAGTCAAAATAAATCACTGCAGCTCATTTTTGGTCATATTTACATTTCGAAACCGTAGAGGCAACTTAACTGGTAAAAATATGTTCTTAAAAATTCATCACTAATAATGTTATTCTAAAACTAAAAAGTCTTTTGAATTTACAATTGAGCTGCTATAATTTATTTTGACTTAAACTTTGCCGGCCATTGAATCGGTGTTTTCCATAGTTGGACAAAGTTTAGTTTTGAAGCACTGTAGTTTTGAAATTTTGTTTAGGTAGTACATATTTTGCAATGTGATCCAAGCATGAAGACTTATTGCTGACAGATTACCAAGGTTTTTTGCTGGAAAATTATGGACTTAAAATATTGGATAGATGCAGTAGCTCTTTAATATTCTATTGATCTAATTTGAAGTTGTTGATTTCTTTATTGCTTGTGAAACTGTGATTATAGTTATAGTCAAATTCCAATGCGGAGTGGTATAGGCTTCTATTTGGTTAAGCATTTTTTGATAAGGAACTTATTGTTTGTGCATTATAAACAATTCTGTTGTTGAAGAACAGTCTTGTTTGCTACAAATGTTACTGTTTGTACAGACTTTGATATTGCATATGAGTCTGATCCAATGTTCTGGTGAATGAAGGATGAATGTCATGAATGTTGTGGTACCTTCACAGTAGTTCATTCAGTCTTGTGAAAGATCAGTTGCTACTGGTGAGTTATTGGCCAATCATTGCGACGTATTCCTTGTGAATTATAAATTCCTTGCTTTCAAGTTTTCAACTGTGCTTTCAGATTTCACGACTAGCGAATTTTGGATTTATTGAAGTCTTTGGTTCCTAGAAATAAACGAACTGGCGTTATGCCTGAATCAAAAGTAATTTCCGAAGTAGATAGCTTAACTTTTAAAGCAACAGTTGAATCACAAAAGTTTCCATTTGAGTATCAATGGCCTCAGGATAAAAGTGGCGAATATTTTCATTTGCAAATGACGATCTCCAGTTTCTTGAATGATACAAACTTGTTGCAGAAGTATCCCGACATTGACCATCACGAAGTGTCTATTGAGGAAAGGAAGTTTCTTTTTGGACAAGGAGTCATAACAGAAAATCTATTCAACTCCCTGGAGAAGAAGGTATATGCATTGGATAACATTCTCATATAGGTAGCGAATACTACGAAACTAGACATTGTGTCGCACAAAACTGTAAATTTATATTCAAATCTAAACCATCTTTAGTTCATACCGTTTTAGTTTCACTTTTTCTGTTTTTCGACTTCATGGTTTTGCATATTGTCCATTTTCAGAACCTTTACTTGCAACTAATGTCTCTTAGTGTTTACCAAAAAGTTAGTAATGTCGCTCAGCGCTTGCCCACGTTAGATGATGCTCACAATAAGAGGCTGTTTACATGAGCGCTGTGGGTATGGTTAGCCCTACCAAGAATATGTGCAAACTTTACAAATTTTTACACTGCAAACTTTACAAATTTTTATGTACATGCCCTGCCAGCCAAGATATTTCTGTTTACTGCTCTAGATGTTGTCTAATAGGGGTAAAGAATATCCTTTTTCTGTTATGGTGGTCTGTTGCCAGCCATTTTGTATTTGTCTCTGAAGCATTTGGTGCAAGCCCAGATCTAGATATTGAAAGTTTACCTGTAAAAGAGGCAAAAATAGCTTCTTAGAGGAAAGTCTAACCCTCCTAGTATAGCTCATGTAAAGGGCCCCTAACATTGATAAAAATTTCTTTTATATAAACCTTGTATTGAACATGACTTCAAGAATGTTTTATGTTTAATATGTTTTGAAACTCTTAGCTGGCATAAGGTTCTGCTAACACGCATAAAAATCATCATGTTGTTGCTAGTTGTCATCAACGTTGTTCAACATTGTTCATAACAATATGTTGCAATATTGTGCTACACCCTGTCAACAAGGTTTTGTCAACAATACTGTTCACACTTGTTGAAACATTAATGTTGGCAGTTGTTCAAGTAACAAGACTTAAAAACATAGTTGGGTCAGTAAAAATCAATTTGTTATCATCTACGATTTTTTATGTCAACAAATGCAAACATTGTTGACTCAACAATGCATTAACAATATCATATTCAGGGGGAGTTGTTTAAAAGCTTAAAAATAATATTTTCATGGTTGCTTTAGCTGAAACAAGGAATATATAACTGTGTTGCCGAGTTTAATATAAATATTTCAAGATAATACAGGGTAAATACATCAATATTATAAATACAACAATAATATGAATTTATAAACATATACGCATTGTTCTTGCCATGATTATCTGGTCTTTTCTATAAACTTTAGATCATTGGATACTCCAAGGATCTCAAGATCGTGGTTTTCCATAAATAGTTAAACATCCCTAGTGGCCAGTGCCACAGTGCCAACATGTCCTTGTTTAGATATTCAAATTGTTTGCCTAATAAACATACAAAATTGATGAGGAAATTATAAAGAGGATTATACATTTACAGTATGTATGTCTTGAAATTAGTTATATAGATACAAGTATCCGATTTTCTTTGTCCATTTTGTCATACAACTAGTACATCAACTTTGAAGTTTTTGTGTAGACATAGTTTCCAAATAACATTGGAGAGCAGTTACTTTATCTTGAATTTTGCTTTTATGAATATGCACTTTTTCTTTCTTCATCCTATGTGCAAACACAACACAATCAAATAAATCGTTTAGATTTGGTGATACAATAATGAAATCAAAGGTTTCTTTTCAATTTCTTTGCCTTTCGTGATTCTTTCCCTGAAAATTTTGGTATAGATATATATCAATCTATAGGTGTTTTTTTGCAAAGATAAATCATTTCAAATAATAACACAACTTTGCTCAATCAATACAATCATACAATACCTATTTACTGAGTATATAGTCTACCTTTCATTGCAGAAACTATTTCTTGGCCCTGGTTTTTCAATAATATGTACAAGATACAGAAGGGGAAGCTTACATAGCTTTCCAGACAAGTTCTTGCATGTGAATTACTTGTGTAAATCATTACAAATTGTTCCTGCTTGATTTCGTCTGACCTTGATTTCTAAAGCAGTTATTTTGTCGAGATACTCCATTAGCACGTTATAACAACAATTATCAGTAGACCTTAAAATGTATCATTGAATTTATAGATTAGAAAAACGTTCTCCAAACTACACAAAGTGATAAGCAATGAAAACGTTTCTTATGGATACCGGGATACGAACAGTTTATCTCATGATCAAGTTTTGATTTTCATGTTTTTGCTGTCATCATTGTCATCCTTATTATTTCTGCATCATTATCCATTGAATAATCACTGTATTTTCTTTACGTAAAGAGATATCTATGTTCGTTCATGTTTGCCATAACATTTCGTCGTTGTCGTAATCTCTTTTAAAATTTTAAACTATAAAAGCTTTTCACAATGCTTTACAAAATTAACTTCGCACTTGTCATTTCGATTTCGTCAAGCTCGTCTTTCATTTTCATAACGATGTTGATCAAATAGCAAAAACATCATTGCGAATTATTTAAGAAATAAAAGATGTGTAGTGTGTTTGCACAGGCTTATGAAAACCGAGCAGACCTTTGAGAGCTCGAGAGCAGATCAGTGCAAGCCCGAGACCGAAGGTCGAGGGTTGCACCTGCTCGAGGTGCAATCGTCTTATTGTGTTTATTTTATGTGTTTTGTTTATCTCGCCGTAGAAAGTTTAAATGCTTTGTGACAGTTTTGTTTGCGTCTCTTTGTATTTTTTCTATAAATATGGTTTCCCGCTTCTTGTTTGAAAAGTTTATACGATTTTGATTGGTTGCTTTTTCATGTACTTGACCTATCATATGTTTTTCATTGAACATCATTCGACCATGCTGTTATTAATATTGTTATTAAGTTTTCGAGCAATCAAAAACATCTTGTTCTTTTAACCCTGTTGTTCGTGCTTGTTGTGACAATGTTGTTGACGATTGTTGAATGAACAAGGCTGGAACAATATTGTTCCAACAACAACAAACAGGCTTGTTCTATCAACCATGTTCACATATTGTTCGAACATGTTGCAACAAAGTTGATCCTTTAGCAATCGTTAACAATATTGTTTGATTGATATTGCTAACGATTGATAATTTAACATTGTTGCTGAGTCATGATAACAACGCTGATCATACGTTGCATAACAAACAATGTTGCAACAACCTGATCAATTTTTACTCGTGTAGTATAGCTGCTGTATGCACAAATTATAAAATTGCTTCTGTCCTGTGATAAGTAGGATATAACTCATGTAACTCAAATATTGTGTATTGGCGTGACTTTGTTTGGCATTTAAAGACATAAATTATGATAAATCTGAAGAGATTTTATATTAAACATTGGTAAATCAGTCTGGTGTGTTAACAAATGGTTTAGCGCATTGATAAAAATGCGTTTTCATTTAAAGCGATTCTGGTAAAACTCAGAATTTGAATTGATAAATTTAAAATCATACTTTAAAGCTGTTAGTTCTTCTTGTGTGAAAACAGGATGACATCTTCACCACATTTTAATTTTCTAAAGGCAACTCCTTTTTATATTTTGTAGCTGCTCATCTTTGTGCTTGTTAAACCCTATAAAATGTTTTGCATCATGACTCTTTTTGACTTCATTTTTTAGTATATGCTTGTATTATCATTTAGTAACATATTAAAAATATGATCTTAAAGTGGATTTCAAGTTGTGGTGAAACCAAGTTTATTTATACTTCTACAATAAAGTAAATGGTTTGAACCCGGGAGTATTGTTACATGTTTGTAGATCTAGATCGTCCAGGTTGGTATAGTCCTGAGAAGGACTGTTTTTGTTGTTTTTGACTGACGTTTTGACAACTTTAGCGGTAGTCAACAACAACAAAAACAGTCCTCAGGGCTATACCAACCTGTACGATCTACATCTACAAACATATACTTCTACAATGTTGCAAATTTATATCTGTTTAATTTATGCAAATATATTTTCTTTGTTTACGGGAAAATGTTAAATTGTTGAATGAACTGATTTGTAGTTTATTTGGATAAATTTCTGTAGCAGGAGAATAAATTTTGGCTGATTTTCGTTTTTTAGGTGGTTAGGCCACAGTGGTTTGGTACCATTTTAACCTGCGAACCCCATACCCGGGAGCAGATACAATGACGGGAAGGGTGAAAAGGGGCAGTTAAACCCCAATATTTCCTAATCTACTACATATTAAATAATTTTTAATCATTTGGACTTGAGTTGTTAAAATTAGAAATATGATCATTTGACTCATTTTACTGCTCACCCCCAAATATTTCATCTCTTTTCCTCCCCTTCCTTTACATATTATTGCTATCTAAACTAATAATTTTTGTATGCAAATAAATTTTAATCTTCCTACAACCAGGATGTTTAAAATTGCGGGACATCTTAACAGTGGCCTATACCATATACGGCCTCCTGATTTGAGAGAACCTCAAAACTAATATGAACTGAGCAAAAACATTCAAAAAATTTCGTTTTTACAGTATTTTTCATGAGCTTGCAACATGGTATCAGTTTTGTCTTCCACGTTGATTTATTGTTTTTATTTCTTCAGATAATGGCTTTAAGCACGGATGATGTACGTCATGTTATGATTGAGTATTACCCATCATCCTACCGCGCGTATGTTGCGATGCTGCACGAAAAGGAGAAGCAGGCAGCCGTCAGCAAAACGAGTAAAAACGGAAAGACGTTATCGATACGGCAGACTAATGCATTGAAAAAAGCTATGAAAGATTCTTCAGATTACAATGCTCTTCTACTACAACAGCGTCGTGAGGAAAGGGCATCATACTACGACATGCAGACGCAGTTAATTCATATTCCGGCCAGAAGAAACAAGAAGCTCCCTCCAAATATGACCATTCCTAGCAAATATCCCGTGGCTCTGCTACCTGGGCAGTATCAGGAGTACTATCACTCCTATAGCTTTCGTGTTTTGAATCAACTTCCTTTGAACACTGTTATCGCATTTCCACCTCCACCTCAGTTGGAGGTAATATTTACCTATTGTTTTGAATTTTTAATAAGTTACCAAGTCGGGCGTACATCTGGCTAGAGTTGAATGTAATTCCGCAATGTCGAAAAAATTTCCAGTGTTACGCTGGGTGTATCAAAAAACTGAACAGTTTTCAAAACACCGCTTTAATCATCAACGCTCAAGATTTGCAAAACTTGGTGAAATGGTTTGTCGGACTTCTAATTGTTCATCTGACACTAAAATTGTTACAAACAGTCACTATTTTTAAGGTAAAAATTGTTTTACAGATAAGAAATTTTAAATATAATGCAAAATATATTTCAAAACTACTTCTCGTTAACACAAGGCTCACTCTAAAGATGGTTATTCTTTAAGAAAAGTTTACTGTCAGATAAACCATTTGAAATCTAAGTATGTGCCTATTATTTTACCAAAAGTTTTTGTAGATCTTGCGCGCTGATCACGTTAGTGACATTCTTCTGACATTTTATACTTTTTTATACACCCTGTTGTATCAGACACTGGCAGACCTTTATTTTTCTGTTTGATATTTAAATATGCTGGTAAAATTTTGGTGGACATCAGCAACCGTTCTTCGTCTCGTTCATTAATTGCACTGCTAACCTAGTAAATTTTTATGTTGTTTGTTTTTTACGTACCTATATGTTAATTCTCTTCAAATTGGAAAAAGAAAACCTTGTATATTCATAAAGTGGAATGTGGGCCATGCCGGGTATATTTTTTTGCTTATTGCCAAATCGCTTATGCTTCGTATATTCATTTTCTCGGCTTTAAAAATATAAATCTTTCCTTCTTAATGGTTGACGGAATATTCGTCGCAATGAATGCGAAATCATAGCTGTAGGCCTCGTTGGATCGCAGTGGCGTATCCAACCAGCATGTTTGGCTTTGCTGTGTAAATTTCACATATCGGTATGACTTATTTTTTTAGATTTTTTTTGTTTTTAAAGTTAATTAACACCGAATTATTTACCTAGCACAACCCCTCTTGCAGGCTGTCGACGTCACCTGGGTGGCAAACGAACTTTCGGGTACCTATATGTAGCCTTTTTATCGTTATAATTTCCACAATTTTAAAGAAGTCATACGATTTTTTCACCCCAGGTGACAACAGTTCCCGAAGCATTTGAAATGATGCAACAGAAAAGCGAAGGACCTGTGCCAGTTGTACCATATATGACCATAGGTAAGCGTGAAGAAGTGTACGATGAACCTCCTCCAAAAAGAACGTACAAGCATAGAAATCATGGTAGTGGAAAAAAGGATCCCGTGTGTGGAATATGCTTGTCTGGACCTGAGAAAAACAAAAACGGTATGTTTTGTTCCAGAACTTTGTTGTTCTTTGCTGTTTTAGAACTTTGCGTGTGAATGAACAAATAACGCTAACTGGTCAATTTCATCGTATAGGATATTAGCTGTTTCACTTCTCGTTTCATTACACCAAATGTTGATCTGTGCTTTTTAGTGCAAAGGTTCCAAACTTTCCATTGTAGTGAGTGGCGAAAACTCAAACGAGTTTTGCTTTAACTATAACGCTTTTCGTTAATGCTGGCACTGATGACAAATATTTTGAAGATTTTGTAAGCTCGAGTTTATATAGAATGTGAAGAATGTTGGTATTCGTCGTATTGCCGTATTTGCCAAGTACTTGGCTAGCGCTGATTATTTAGCAACATGTTCTGAACTTCCGGTCTAACTACACTCATGCACTACGTGTTGGTGAAGTGGTATTAAACATACTACAGTAAAATTTAAAGTTGCGCACAGATCTGCCACGGTAAGTAACATCTTACTAGAAATAAAGCGCACTATTACTACTCTTAAACCAGACATAGATTCTAGTGAATCGCCTGGTTAATGAAAATCGTTAATAGTTAATCTAAATCTTTAACGTAAATGTTTTTAGTCACATTTTGTCAGAAACGGTGCCTCATAGGTCGGTTCTTCAATAAAAAGATATATTTATAGGCAACAAATAGTTGGTTTCATAAAATTAACTGTAAACGCTTGCATGTGAAAGTCGAGAATAACGTTTTTGTTGTATGCAAAAGCACTTCGACTGGTGGGAAAACTTTCTCTTGCTCGTGGTTTGACGGGTGTAAAATTATGACGCGTTAGGAATACGTCGTTAACTTCCTCCGCGTAAAATTTGCGCAAATATTTGGTGAAAGTGGATAGTTTGTCTCATCTCACAGCGTTGTCTTACAGTATATTCGTCGCAAATTAGCCACTTCAAAATCTGCACGAACTGGGCACGAATTAGAAGTGCACGCGGTTTTATGGGACTGATTTGGGGACGCTTTGGAATCCAATGAAATAATCGCGTTTCTGTTGTCAATGCTCGCGTTTTACAGCTACGATTTAATCCTTTTTAAAGTAATTTACGTTGGTCTTAAAATGGAATTGTTGTGTTCCTCTGTGTGCGAATAGTTAGAGGAATTCACCCAATGTTAAGATGCGTTCTATACCCTTTGATGATGTAGTAAGAAAAGCATACGCTAGAGTTACTAAAAATGACAACCTACGTGATAGCTCAAGCACAAAGATTTGTGGCGAGCATTTTAGTGCTGGTAAAAGGCTTGCCGAGCACAAATATCCCATGGGCGAAAGAAAATGCTGCTCGGCGAGAAATTAAGAAGCATCCGATTATTCCTTCCACCTCATGAAAAAGAAAAGCGGTAGCCAAAGCTAGTGAAGTTGAAGCTAAAGTTAGAAAAGCTGATGAGCAGGGTTCTGTGGAAGTTTCTTGCGAAACAACAGAAAATTCAATCCGGCAAGAACTACTATTCTCAGAAGAGACGGTAACAGTGAACGTGAAGAAAACGTGGAAAATAAAACAAGTGAGAATGACCTGAAACAAGAATTAGAAAATCTAAAAACTGAGCTGAAATTAATGAAGAACAAGCTGTACGATCAACCGATATTTGATGTTGATGATTATAAAAACATTGACTTCGTTCTATACTGGTTTTCCAAGTTACGTGACCATGCTTTTGTGTTATAGAGTTTTGAGCATAACCTTCATAACAGTAGTTATGGGTATCACACAAGCACTCAGTTTGACTTACTGGCATTCGAGCGACCAGGCCAGAGATGAAAACGTACTCCATGGCACGAATATGGTGCTGATGCGTGTAAGACTTGGCCTGTTTGCAAATGATCTGGCTCATCGTGATCTGTCCCATATATTTCGTGCACGGATTAGATTCATGAGAGCAGAGCTCAAACCTATGTGTATTTTGTGGCCATCAAAAGAGCAAATAAAGCACTTCGTACTCCCCGATCATAGTGTTTTACCCAGAATTGGTGTCCATAATAGATTGCACTGAAATATTCATGGGAGTTCCTCAGGCTTGGATAATCAGTAAGCCTGCTACTAACATATATCACACAATACAATGAAAGATCTTATTGGAATCACACCAAATTGTGTAATATCATTTGCCAGGGACTTGTTTAGTGGATCAATCTGTGATCCTGAAATTGCAAAGAAATCTGGGTACATTAAACATTTAGGTCGAGGTGATTTTGTTGTGGCAGACAGGGGTTTTACTATCCAGGATGATTTACCATCAGTTGGTGCAAGGTTAGTAACTCCAAATTTCCTTAAGTCAAAAAGTTGGTTTTCAAAGACAGAGAATGAACACAATACAAAAATTGCACGTCTACGGATTCATGTGGAACGGTGTATGGAGAGAATAAAGAACTGGCTCTTTTTTACCTACCAGTCCCTATCACTGCACAAGACATTGCACCAGATCTATGGATAGTTATGACTTGTTTGTCAAATTTTTTTACCACCACTTATAAATCAATAGTCACAAATTGTATTATTTTATTATTAATTACATATTGTAAACCAAAGACCTGGTTGTGTTTACAAACTTAAATATTGCTTTGAACAGCATATTTGTCTTGGTCAGTTACTATTGAGTAGTTCTTTAAAGAACTGTAGAAATCCAAAATTTTGATAGCTTATATTGACAAATATGCCATTAAGAGCATTACTGAAAAATATATTATTATAAATTTGAAGAATGTAAAGGCAACTTTTGAATAAACTGTTATTGATTTCCTACTGATAGCTGCTAATATACATTTGTATTATAAATTTGAAGAGTGTAAAGGCAACTTTTGAATAAACTGTTATTGATATCCTACTGATAACTGCTAATATACATTTGTACCTCACTAAACAAATTCTCAACTAAAAATAAGGAAAGGAAGTTACCTTTTCTTAGCGAAGAGAATTGTGTAGAATTCTTGGGTACACAATTTCTGGGAACACATACTTAAAATAGATTTGCTCCAATTTAAGAAATGGTACTTTGCTGAGATTACAAACCCGGACTTGGCCACAGTATTTCCACTATAATACTCATACCTAACAGCAGTAATAAATAAATTTACTAGTAATGGTGAACATTTTGTGAATTTTATGAACGCGAAGCACTTTTAAAATCACTTGTGCGGCAAAAAATGCATTTGGAACACATTTGGTTAAAATATTGTTGTGTTGTTTGTATAGGTAATAGCATAGTGTCGAGTACAATTTGGGAAAACATGAACGAGTAAGTTTGAAAAACTCACTCGTGTATATTGTTAAAGGTGATAGAGTTTTGGGAAATTTGATCTATGCATATCCGCTCCGAATAATGTCTATTTTTAAGTACCATTTTATTAAGGTCCTCGTCAATTATGCATAAATTTTATCTTGCAATGTCTTGAATTAATGCTAACACGCATAATTGATGAGGGTTGTATAAAAATGGCATTTAAGAAGGAAAACCCCAAATTATTAGGGCGTGATTTAGATGCTCCGTATTAGCCTCAGTGACTTCCCAAAACAACATATTTGATTTGATTTGATTTGATATGAAATTTGCATAATAAGTAGATATCGAAAGATAGCTAAAATATAATAACTAACTATTCAAAATCCTATAAAAAATTATTATGTTAAAACCAGAAGAACTACGGTTATTTATTAGTCCATAGTAGCTACAATTATATGCCATATTTTAACCGTCCAATTTCCTTTTCCGCGCAAGCTATTTCAGAAATGCTTCTCAATTACATAATTCTCACTCAAAAATGATTATTATTTGCGACAAATTTACAGTCAGATGAACCATTGAAATGCGTGTATCATTTTGCCATTTGTTTTCTGCTGAAATTAAAAACCATTTGGGGATGATCAAATCCAAAATTTCTTTTTCATTTTTCATTCAAATCAAAAATCGAATTCAAATTTACTTTTCGTTTCTCGGTGTTTGACGAAACTCAACAATTGAATCCAAGTTTCTTTTTTGTTTTTCATGTTATAGTGCATAAACACGTGCTGAAATATAACATATAGTTCTCTTTACTTTAACGCAACAATCAGGGGGAGGAGTAAGCATAATATTAAGGTTGTGTGTAAAGACGATTCAGCTGCAAATCAAATAATTATTATGGTCACTGGCATCAATTTTATAAAGCGAATTTCTGTCAAATGGAACAACACTAATTAAAAAACATTATCCTAATGCTGGAGGATTTAGTGCTCGCATTATCGAGCGTTTCTGCTGACCGAAAGCATAGCATAAAAGATGCATCCCTAGACGTAATGGTTGGACAAGCAGCACGTAATGTATGAAATTTTGATCTTAAAAGTTTTATTCTCGAAAAAGGTTGGAAATCTTACTCAACTGTTATTTCTCAAATGACCTACAAAATATGGTGTGGTATGATACAGAAGAAAACCCGCTCTTTCTTTTGCTTTCTTTTGAAATGACAGTGAACCTCATCAAACAGCACTCATTTCCCAATGATAGAAAAATGAATTTTCCCCTTGCTATTCTTATTTGAGGAGTACTCGATCAGTTCTGACAAAATTAAAAACATATTGGAAAGATAAAGAGTTTGTTTTGTTTTTGCTTTGTAAAAATATGAACCTATTAGGCATTCTCAAATACTCGAGATTATCTTAAAGCTCGATGCACTTTCTTTTGATATGCTGTTCAAGTAAAAACAAGTCAATTTTATGCTGCAAATCCCTTGCATTTGACTTACATTTCCAACCCTTTTCATGGATGAAACTTTTAAGATTAAATTTCATACTTTATATACTGCTTGAGACGCATCTTGTTTGCCATGCTTTCGATCGGCATAAACGCTGAATTGTTATTTCTTCATTGACTAAGAGCTGAATCGTTATTTCTTTACACAAAACCTTAGTTTTATGCTTATTCTCCCCCTGATTGTTGTGTTAAAAGTAACAACTTTAGTGTAACAGCGTCTGTTTATGCACTATAACGTGGGAAACAAAAAACGAAAATTGGATTCCATTTTCGAGTTTCGTCACAGACCAAAACAAAAAAAACAAAATTTGAATTCAGTTTTTCATTTGAATGAGAAACGAAAAACCAATGTCGGAATAGTACACGCTTTGATTGAAAGTTGAACTATCTATTTCAACGAAAGATTTTTGCAAACATTGCGCACCGATGTTTTCCCAACTGCTCTGTATTTTTTATACACCCTGTAGAATTTTGAACATTGCTTTCTTTTCCCTTTAGGCTTGGCAGAAGAACTTATTCATTGCTCCGAGTGTGAAAATAGTGGTCATCCAACGTGTCTGGATATGAGCCCGCAATTGGTGCGGATTATTAAGACGTACCCCTGGCAATGTATGGAATGCAAGAGATGCACCTTATGTAACGACCCTCATGATGAAGACAAAATGTTGTTCTGTGATGAGTGCGATCGTGGTTATCATAGCTTTTGTGTTGGTTTGACCCAAATTCCAATTGGTCGTTGGATATGTGATAAATGCGGCATGTGTGCGTCGTGTTTAAAAAGGGTACCTGGTCCCGAAGGTAGCGCTGCAAGATGGAAACATGAGTTTACAATTCCTAATGAAGGTGAAGAGCCGCAGTTTCTACAAACTTTATGTATATCGTGCTCGCGGTTATTTAGAAATGGGAATTTTTGTCCCATTTGTCTCAAGGTGTATCGTAACGATGAGACAGATCTTCCAATGGTTTGCTGCGATCATTGTGATCGATGGACTCACACAGATTGCGAGGGAATAGATGAGAAAACGTACCGAGAATTATCTCGGTCAAAGTCGAAGTATAAATGCGCTCTATGTCGTGGCGAGAAGGAGGAAAGGATCAAAGGATTTACCAAAAAATTTCCCCAGTACAAAACAGTATGAAAAATTTTGTTGACGTATCGTCAAATTTGTTTCTCCTTATTTTTAGCTTTTTTTGAAACGCTTTTGCATAAACTATTCTTTAACTAATTTCTGAATGCAATGTTCTTTCTGTTCATGAAGCATGCGATAACTTCGAAACTCATGTATGTACAGGGTGTATCAAAAAAAGATTTTTAGAATTAAAACTATCGTGCAAATTCAATACCTAATCGCATTCGTGCATTACCGTGCATGTTTTGCTGTTGGAGGCTATTAGCATTGAAATCATCAAAACACTTCAATTTCTAAAGGTCTTCTTTTTTATTTAAATCGTATACAGGATTTATCAAAAAACCGGCCATCTCTGAATGGAGCCTACTTTTAGAATTTGCATGAGCAATAATTGATTTCCTAGGCGCCGTCAATGCAGTTGAATACAATAATAATACTATAGAGTTATAGCCTGTCGCCCATGCCTCGAACAAAAAGTTACTCGTTCCGTTTGCTCAGCACGTATCTCACCTTGTTTGCTTAATTCTATTTAATCATCAACTCTGGTCGTTCCAGTGTTGTACAGAATGACAGAGAGCTCAGTGCATGCGTCCACTACTAGTGTTTCGCGTAAGACCAGTCAACGTTTTATTTAACGCCGCAAAGGATTTCGCTTTTTTCTGTCAAATTTCTTCCTTTTTTTCTTGGTTTTGTGGTAAGTGGCTAGGTAAACGACGAACGAGGATTCAGCTAAGTAAAGAATTTTTTTGTTCATAGAGTCAATATCTATTACTTGTAGGTTTAACATTACGTCAGACGAATCTGACCACGAGTGTCGCCATGATGTTGTCGTCATGGTTGACAAACGCAACAGCCGAATCTTTCTGAATCCGACTCAACAACTCTTTTGAAAGATATTAAATGCCTTGCAAGAAAGCAGGAACATACAGAATACGTTATTATCTAGTCTTGTAGCGGACAATAGACGTAACTGTAATCGAAAACCGACGGTTGAATGTATCGACATTGACTCCGCAACTCCTGCTAAACGTTCAAAGACTGACGTACACGATAACTTCGTGCATCAAAAGCTTCAAAGAAATCTACCCACCTAGCCTCTGAAAAAAAGAAATACTTTAGCTCCAGTGAAAGCAGTACATTGATTGTCTCCGAGGAAGACGATAATTCAGCCCATGATGATGACGATGCCCTAAGTATTCAGTGCTATGACAATGAAATTGACGGTTTGTTAGACCAAGAAACCAAAGATGAGAACAGTGTGAGTTTTTTAACTGAAATTAGTGCCTCTCTTTGCCACTCTAATGATCATGGATGACCTATTACAAATGAGCTTGCTCGTCTTGTAGTTAATAAATTTGCCACTGAGTTAGTCATTGAAAACAGGAAAGAGATCTCTAAAGGTCCCCCAAAAGTATGAAGAACTATACGTACCTCGGATAAACCCAGAGATTTGGGGAAGGCTCAAACCTTAAGCAAAACGAACTGATTTAAATTATCGACGCTACAAAATTTACTTATACCAGCTTCTAGTATTTAATAAATTACTTAACAGTCGGGAAAAAGAGTCAGCCCAGATTATCAGAAGGTTATGTCCTCACTTATGGACTCGACTCTATTGCACTCATTGGTCAAGTAATAAAGAGCTCTCTTACAAACGCAAGGACCGAATTTGACCCGTCCTCAATAGTGAATTTAAATCAGCAGGTTCTAGAAACACCAAACTATAGTAATTTCGCTTAGGAAATGATCTGCCTAAAGTCTTAAATGACTTAAAAACAGGTACGAAATGCGTACATGTGGGTAGTCTGTGAAATGGATGGCTAGTAAATGAAGTTGATTTAGTAATATAGTTCAAATAATATTGCATATTTAATACTATTAACGTCAAACTTGTTCACGATTTGAAAATGTTTTTTATTTAAACGACCCATGTATTTTTTAACTCTTTCTGCTTTTTTCGAGGCTCTAGCTCTGCTTGAATACCACGTAACTGGGCTCACGAGACTCGCATGAAGAAACTGACGTCATTTAGATCTCTCGCGACTTTTAAAGGTTTTTTCCACAGAAAAACATTTTTTCTAATGTTGTGTTTCAAAATAGTTTTCTGAAGAGTCTGAGATGCCGTTCATACAATCGATAAATCAACAGGTGTATGACATGAATTAGACTACATATACAGAAAATCTAACATTATACCTGAACGTATTTACTATCGACTTAGATGTTCAGTACCAAGAGTACCAAGACCACCCAGACTATACGGACTACCAAAACTACACAAACCACAAATACCCATGCGACCAATTGTATCATAAAGTAAATGGTTTGAACACGGGAGTATCGTTACATGTTTGTAAATGTAGATCGTACAGGTTGGTATAGTCCTGAGAAGGACTGTTTTTGTTGTTGTTGACTGACATTTCGACAACCTTAGCGTTAGTCATCTTCAGAGTCAAATGAGGAGTAAACGTCAGGTTAGCAGTATTTGTAATCTGGTTCTTACGTCATTGTATTGTGTGCACAGGAAATGTGTGAGTGTCAATTGTGTATTGTCATTGTGAATTAGTGTGAAGTGAAATGTTTTTAGTTGTGATGTGTGATTTAGGTTTGATGTTTTTAGTTGTAATGTGTGGGTGTCAATTGTGTATTGTCATTGTGAATTAGTGTGAAGTGTAATGTTTTTAGTTGATCGTTTGTTTGTATTGTGAATAAATCGTTTGTAAGGTGCCGGTAATTGCTGTGATCTATTCAGGGGGGTTTGTTCCAAGTTAGTATACCAACTTTCTAATGTAAGCCGTTGTCTGTAATCAGTACTGTAAGTAATGCATTATGCCGAGTCCCAGTCAATGTTGTGCTTTGTGAGTCAGTGATGCTCGGCAATGTGATTAGTTTTGTCTTGTTTCTTTGTGGCTCGTTTGTGTTCAGGAAAACAAATGTTTAAGTTCCTGCCAGTTTCCCCGATATAGGAGGCGTGGCAGTCGTAGCAGTATATTTTGTAAACTGCACCTTGTCGTTTGTTGGGTTGTTCTTTATCCTTTATGTTCGTTAGTACTTGTCGTAATGTTGTGATTGGTTTACTTGCGACATGTATGTTGTATGGTCGTAAGAGACGCGAGATAGTCTCAGACGTACCTTTGATGTAAGGTAACGTTGCTGTTGTCACTGAGCTGTTCGTTTTGTCAGAGTTACAGTTGTTTTAGCCAAAAACACGTTTGAGATAGTTGTTTTCGTTGTGTAGAGCGTCCGGTGAATCACATATGATTTGTGCACGTCTTGTTAAAGTTGTTAATTGTATCATTCTGTGATTTGCCCACTTGCGAACTCTCAAAGTACTTGACTGATATACTGCAACCACTTACAAACAAATCAAAAAACAAGCTTCAATATACTGAAACTTTCATCAAAAAACTGAGCACTATACAAATACCGGAAAACTATATACTAGTGTCTTTTAATGTGAAATCACTGTTCACCAGTACTCCACTTAGTCTGGCACTTACTTGTACAAAAACCCTCATTACAAACACCACGGACGGTACTTCCATTACGGACAGAAGACATTATGGAGCTACTGGAGCTCTGCCTCACCTCGACTTACTTCCAGTACAAAGGTACACAAACCAAACAATTACATGAAACAGCAACGGGCTCGCCCGTTTCTGTTGTGGTTGCTGAATGTGTAATACAATCTATACAGGAACTGGCGCTCACGACTTACAAACATGCACTACCTTTTTGGTTCCGCTACGTCGATGACACAATCACAGCACTACGTGCAGACGACATTGGTAACTTTCACACTCACATCAACAAACAGAACAGCCACATACAATTTACCAAAGATGTCGAAGAAAACGGAACTCTTCCTTTTCTCGACTGTTTGGTAGAACATGACAATCAAAAACTACGAACAACTGCGTATCGAAAACCAATACATACTGTCCGACTACTATACCAATCATCTTACAACCCTACATTACACAAAGCCACCACAATCAGAACATCAACAAGACGTGCACAAATCATATGTGATTCACCGGACGCTCTTCACAAAGAAAACAACTATCTCAAACGTGTTTTTGACAACTATAACTCTGACTTTATGAAACGCAACACTTACAAACCCAACGAACCCAACGAAATGAACAACTCAGTGACAACAGCAACGTTACCTTACATCAAAGGTACGTCTAAGACTATCTCGGGTATCTTACGACCATACAACATACGTGTCGCACATAAACTAATCACAGCATTACGACAGAAACTAACGAAAAAAAAGGACAAACAACAACCCAACGAACGACAAGGTGCAGTTTACAAAATAAACTGCTACGACTGCCACGCCTCCTATATCGGAGAAACTGGCAGGAACTTAAACATAAGTTTTCCTGAACACAAACGAGCCACAAAGAAACAAAACAAAACTAATCACATTGCCGAACATCACTGACTCACAAAGCACAACATTGACTGGGACTCGGCAAAATGCAGTACTTACAGTACTGACTATAGACAACGGCTTACATTAGAAAGTTGGCATACTAACTTGGAACAAACCCCCTTGAACAGATCACAGCAATTACCGGCACCTGAAAAACGACTTATTCACAATACAAACAAACAATAAACTAAAAACATCACACTTCACCACTAATCCACAATCACGATACACAATTGACACCCACACATTTCCTGTACGATGACGTAAGAACCAGACAACAAATATGGCGTTTACTCCACATTTGACTCTGTTTGGCCAACCAACAACACATTATTGCCCTCAAAGACGCTATTTTGCAGAATTCTGAGTACTCGCCATATTTTTACTTCCAGTGTATCGTTATGTTACAAACGTTGTAAAAAATGTTCTTTTAATATTTTGTTCATTCTGATAATATTGCATGGGTTTTAAAAACCACAGACTGCGTGAAGGAAGGCATCCATTTCTTCGAGAATTACAAGTCTAATCGACGAATTTATAAAACTATAATAGATTAGAATTAAGCGAGTTTCTTATAACATTGTGTGTGTATTAAACCACAGACTGCGCAAGAATTCGGCACCCAGTTCATCGAGAATTATAAGTTATTTAGAAGTTTATAAAGCTAAAATAGATTGTATATGTTGTATAGTTATTTGTATTGCTCATTTTACACCAGCTATACTCGATTTTTGCAAAAAAAGTCATAAAAAATGTAAAACTCATGTTGGAAAT